AGTATAAGACAACAAAAAAACTAAAATGGACCTTTCTGCTGAAAGTTAAACCTTCATCACAAAAATACAAAACAATATCAGAAACAAGTTAGGCATGTTGTTGACAGTAGGTACTCCGCCGAAGCAAGGGACACTCCTAGCAAATTTGTATCGGAAATGGGCGTCGGCGCAATAGAATCCGAGTTTTTAATTTTTTCATGTGCATGTAATTTGAATAAATTAGGAGTCCTTTTGGCCTTTAATTAAGGTCTGACTCCACACAGTAACATTAGGAGAAATGTTGAACTACATTCCCATTGAGTTAATTTTTTCTTTATATCAACGTTAAGTAAGGAAAATCGTATGTCAATATGAGGCATCTTCACATTAAAAAATTTGGTCTAAATATTCAAAGTAGGTGTTTCATATTAAAAGTAGGCCTGCATAATTTGTTGAAGTACACGTGTGCAAAATTTCATTTGAGATAGCTCATGAAACATTTTCACAATTCTCCTCAACGTTGACCTCATTATGCAAAGGTCGCACAGGCCATTTTGGATAAGTGATCCCACCCCCTTTTAAATGGCGGAAAACCCCAATACTTAGCTTAGGAAATATTCATTATTATCTCCATATACATCAAAATATTTGATAACTTGTGTCTCAGAATGCATTTTGAAGACATTTAAACTAGAATTTTTAAATTTGAGCTTTAAAAACCTGGTAGAGTCCATATTATTAGCAATCAGAATTGACTGTGTGCAAAAAGTCATGGGAAACCATTCACAGCCATTTGCATAATGCTATGCCGAAGTACTACCGACTACCTCAAGTTTCATTCATAAGAGTTTGCCGTGTGCAAAAACTATTAACACCATTGGTCAGGGAAAGGTTTAGTTAATTAGTCATGTGCCAAAGTTGAAAGTTCAAAATAAGTAGATCCCAAACAACATTTTAGGGGGTGCGTTGCCTTATATAGACTATATAGCATATACCGGTATAATGGACGCTGAAGATTTGGTAAACAGAAAAGCCATATATTAATACATTATATTAAATTTACTGATATAAATAGTGCATAGTTAGATAAGCTACAATTCATCTATAATTGTTAACATTATTAAACTTATTTTTTTAATACAGCATTAGTTCTGAAAAAAAATTATCATTAAAACAAGAGTTATATGGGTCATGACGCGAACAGCGGAATTGGGTACCAGAAAATGGGGATGCGGTCCATGTTAAAAATGACAAAATAAGTGGTACTTTAAAATTCATAACTTTAAAACTATAACAGCTAAAAATATGATTTTGGTGTTATAATTCTTTAAAAAATTAGCTTTATTCAACTATGCCATTGGTTTATTTTTACAAAAAGTTTTAATTTTCTAATCAAAGTACCCATTGTCAGTATATTATAATTAATAGGCACTAGCTCTAGCTAGGCCTAATAATTTTAAATAATATTTTGAATTCATGAGATTATGAGTTGAAGACTATGACTCTGACTCACTCTCATATGGAGGCCATGTGAATCAGTTAATTTATCATCATAATCATAATAATATGAGTATGATATGAGTATTTACTAAGTTAGAGTATGACTAGATACTTCGATGAAACAAGGGAGACTACTATTTTTTTTGTATCGGAAATGGGCGTCGGCGCCGAAAAATCCGAGTTTTTAATTTTCCGATGTGTGTGTCTATTTATTATTAAATTAGTTCTTTCCACATATATTTGAGTTCCGTTTCCGGCCTTATAATTTGGAAGACATCTTGGCCTACATTTCTAGCCAGCTATTTTGCTTTTTTCAATGGACCTTTATTTTGAAAATCTTTGGTATATATAAGGCATCTTCGCATACAAAATTTTTTGTGAAATAATAAGATAAGGTCCTTTTTTATTAAATCTGTATGAGCATTAGATATTGATCTATATCTGTGCCAAGTTTCATTGATGTAGGTCGTGTCTCACGTTTGTTACACTTGTCACAGTGACCCATATCACCATAAGGTGGCTCAGCCTAATTTCGACATGGCGTGGGCCACGCCCCCTTTTTAATGGCGGAAGTTGCCGATACTTAGGAAATATTTAATTATTACCACTATATACATCAAAATATTTTATATTTTGTGTTTCAGAATGCATTTTGAAGACATTTAAACTGGAAATTTTTTAATTTGAGCTTTAAAAACCCTGCAGAGTCCATATTATAAATGATCAGAATTTTCCCTGTGCAACACGTTGTCATTGGCAACCATTCACAGCCACTTGCATAACGGCTACGTCGTAGTACTATCTCAGAGTTTCATTCATAAGAGTTTGCCGTGTGCAAAAGCTATTAAACCATTGGTCAGGGAAAGCTTTTATTAATTATTCATGTGCCAAAGTTGAAAGTTTAAAATAAGTCGACCCTAAACAGTATTTTAGTGATAAGGGAATGCATTGCCTTATATAAACTATATAGTCATTGCGCATGACGCGATCAGTGGAATGAGGTCACAGAATGTGGAGATGCAGTCTATGTTAAAAAATGACAAACCAAGTCGTACTTTAAAAATTCATAACTTTAAAACTACAACAGCTAAAAATATGATTTTGGTGTTATAATTATGTTTAAAATTAGCTCTATTCAACTGTGCCATTGGTTTATTTTTAAAAAATGTTTACATTTTTGACCAAAGTATCTAGTATGACTGAGCTGAGATGATAATTTGCATTGAACTGCAGAATTGAAATACCTACCTTCAGCCACCCTAATGTCTTCGTGTTTAGTCGATTAAAATCGTCTTGAGAAACATCAGGATAAATTTCTTCTTTCAAGACATCATCGGTTAACTCTGTTTGTCCATAATAGTTGCGTCGAGCAATACCCGTTAAAAAGGCTAGAAAACATTTAGGATCGTCCACCATTTTCACAGTCATGTGATTAGTCTATGTTCAATTGAAAAAAAAAAAAACGAAGTAGATGCGTACACCGCAGCGGTGTACTTAGCGAAACCATCGGCTTTGGGCTGCGTAAACCGCGGCGGTGTATCTAGCGAAATCGTGGGCTTTGGCCTGGGTACACCGCGGCAAAAATGTACCATTGGCCTTGTTTTAAGATATGCTTGTTAGAGAAGGTCTTGTGCATGGGTACCCACAGGGGGGGGGTTGGAGGGGGGCACTGCCCCCCCCCCCCGATTGATTGGATAAAAATTTTTTAGACAAAAATAAAAAAAAATGTAACAAAATAAAGAGAAAGTAACTAAGCTGATGTCCTGTCCGTTCTTCTTCTTCTTCTATATCTTAAGGGCCCACGATCAATTTATTGATCATTTTGGCTCCTATGCATGTTGTTGGGATTTGCAATGTTTCTGTTACTGGTGGTGATGAGGAAATTATGCACTAGGGGTTTGAAGGCTTGAGGCAATAGACACAAATGTGTCTAGTGTTGTCGCCTCAACTGTTCCTTTTGAAAGATGGTTCCAGTCCCTGATTGTCTTGGGCAGGAATGAGCAGCTCCTATACTGGCTTCTTGCTGGTATGAGCCTGAATTGCCTGTCATGGCCTCGTCGCTGTCTATGGGGGAGAGGGACGAGTTTCTGTTTAATACTGGAACAGTGGACCAGCCCATTATTTATCTTGTACATCATGGAGAGCCTGGATTGTCGTCGTCGTTTCTCCAATGGTGACCAGCCTAGTGTTTCTAGCATGCTGCCAACACTAGAGGTATTCCTGTAGCGGTTTAGGACAAAGCGTGCTGCTCGTCGCTGGACCGCCTCCAACCTGTCAATGCTCTTCTGGGTAAATGGGTCCCAGACTGAAGATGCATAATCTAAAACCGTTCGTTCACCATACAAATAGTCTACAGTAAATTAAAACTACATTAAAACATTACTAAAAAAATTTTGCCCCCCACCCCCCAGAAAGTTAATTGATTTTTTTGCCCCCCCCCCAGAAAGTTTTCTGCGGGCGCCCATACTCACAACAAACTTACCTTTTGCACCCCCCTCCCCTCTCCGCCTGCATTTTTTACAAATGCGTAATGCCAATGTAAAATTAAATCAACGATATTTAATTATTGTTAAAAGACTTTTAAAAATCACTGCCGTGTTTCGTATTTATCATTATACTATTGTTTAGTGTTGACACATGCTTGGTATCACAATGTCAATGCCTCGGATAACTTTAACTTCACGACTTCATGATCAATGTACGAGTATGTGATTCTGTTACCGTAGTGTATTTGTGGCGTAATTATATCTTGGTGCTAACAAAATAGATTCACTGGCTTTCCATTCATTTTTACACCACGCCCCGAGGGATCACATACAATGTTATATTTACAATGCCCACCCCCAACAAAACAAAACAACACAACAACTGGGTTTGGGGGGGGGGAGAATAATTTCAAATTAGCTACCCTTTTTATGCCTATTAAGATTCACAATCATATGATAAAACTTACTACAATTAATAAATATATTTGTATTTCAATATATTGGGGGGGGGGGGAGAAAGTGGTTAACTTTAAAAATAAATCATGGTTTAACATTACACCCCCAGCCCCCTCCCTTCTAAAAATTAATAAAAAATGCTTTACAAGTACTTTGCCCCATAAGCGTGGAACTTAATCAATATCTTCCCAAGGTGCTAAACGAATTTGAAATAAATAGTTTTCAATTTTAACACGAGTATAACATTAAATCTACAAGTACCGGTTAGGTCAAAAAGTTAAAGACTCGCAAAGACCATAGTTTTGCTACTTAAAATCGCTGCGGTGTACGCAGGCCAAAGTCAATAGTTTCGCTAGGTACACCGCCGCGGTGTACATAGTGCCGGCCAAAAAAAAATTAAGATTAAGAGTATTAAAATAATTATTTCTACATTTATTACCTAAAATTAATTAAGATACATTCAGCCTTAAAAGTAAACACGGTATTTTAAATTAAATATTAAAACTAATAGAAACAGGATAGCAAATAAAATGAATTAAAATTGTGTTCGTATTTCGTATGTTATAAAATTCAGTTTTTGCTCTTCCATCAGTTTACCAAAAACAAAATGGCGACTTCCATATTATCCCGTCAATCTCAAGTGGCTAATGTTTCTTTCGAACAAGAGCAAGATGCGAATTCGGCTTTAACTGAATTAGATAAAGGTAGTTTCATAAATATGCCCCAATTTCTAATAGGCCTATTTATTGGAATTGAAAAGGACATGTCAACATAATTTTTTGGGGACCAAGTTCAATACCAAAAATAAGAAACAAAATAATTTCTGGGGAGGGGAGACCACTCCCTCATCATTTAACTCTTTCCCTGCGGCGCAATGCACAGTACCTTTATTACCATTGCTTAAAACAATATACTTATACGAACATGCTGTGCGTTGTTTCTTTGCTGTTTCTCTGTTAAATGTTTTAATAGCAATTTTTTATTTGGACTTTTACATAGAAGAGTGGTACTTCACTGGTCATGACTATCTATCAAGATGGTGGCCGTGTATAACAAAAAAGTGAAAATTCAACAAATGAAAAATAAAAACACTAAATGGGTAAAATCATACAAATTTATTGAAATAATTTCAGCCGTACATAAATTTCATGTCGAGCAAAGTTACAACATCCTGCGGTTGCCCATTTGCAGCCATAATTTAAGCTGGTACATGCTCCTTTGACTTTGGTAAATTTGAAGGACGGATGCCACTATTTTATTGATGGCCGCCATCTTGGTTGCCACGACACGTGAAGTCACGTGAAGCCTCAACCAAGATGGCGGCCAGAAAAGTAGTGCAAAACACGTGTTATGAAAAAGGGAAAATGAGGGGAGGGAGGGGAGGAGAGAAAATGTGTTCATAAAAAAAAAAAAAAAAAAAAAAAAAAAAAAAAAAAAAAAAGGAAACCCCACCCCAAACCCCCCCCCCAAATAAAAAAAAAAAAAAAAAAAAAAAAAAAAACAAACACAAAAAAAAACAAAAAAAAAAAAAAAAAAACAAAAAAAAAAATGTCGTCGTCGTTTCTCCAATGGTGACCAGCCTAGTGTTTCTAGCATGCTGCCAACACTAGAGGTATTCCTGTAGCGGTTTAGGACAAAGCGTGCTGCTCGTCGCTGGACCGCCTCCAACCTGTCAATGCTCTTCTGGGTAAATGGGTCCCAGACTGAAGATGCATAATCTAAAACCGTTCGTTCACCATACAAATAGTCTACAGTAAATTAAAACTACATTAAAACATTACTAAAAAAATTTTGCCCCCCACCCCCCAGAAAGTTAATTGATTTTTTTGCCCCCCCCCCAGAAAGTTTTCTGCGGGCGCCCATACTCACAACAAACTTACCTTTTGCACCCCCCTCCCCTCTCCGCCTGCATTTTTTACAAATGCGTAATGCCAATGTAAAATTAAATCAACGATATTTAATTATTGTTAAAAGACTTTTAAAAATCACTGCCGTGTTTCGTATTTATCATTATACTATTGTTTAGTGTTGACACATGCTTGGTATCACAATGTCAATGCCTCGGATAACTTTAACTTCACGACTTCATGATCAATGTACGAGTATGTGATTCTGTTACCGTAGTGTATTTGTGGTGTAATTATATCTTGGTGCTAACAAAATAGATTCACTGGCTTTCCATTCATTTTTACACCACGCCCCGAGGGATCACATACAATGTTATATTTACAATGCCCACCCCCAACAAAACAAAACAACACAACAACTGGGTTTGGGGGGGGGGAGAATAATTTCAAATTAGCTACCCTTTTTATGCCTATTAAGATTCACAATCATATGATAAAACTTACTACAATTAATAAATATATTTGTATTTCAATATATTGGGGGGGGGGGAGAAAGTGGTTAACTTAAAAAATAAATCATGGTTTAACCTTACACCCCCAGCCCCCTCCCTTCTAAAAATTAATAAAAAATGCTTTACAAGTACTTTGCCCCATAAGCGTGGAACTTAATCAATATCTTCCCAAGGTGCTAAACGAATTTGAAATAAATAGTTTTCAATTTTAACACGAGTATAACATTAAATCTACAAGTACCGGTTAGGCCAAAAAGTTAAAGACTNATTTCTGGGGAGGGGAGACCACTCCCTCATCATTTAACTCTTTCCCTGCGGCGCAATGCACAGTACCTTTATTACCATTGCTTAAAACAATATACTTATACGAACATGCTGTGCGTTGTTTCTTTGCTGTTTCTCTGTTAAATGTTTTAATAGCAATTTTTTATTTGGACTTTTACATAGAAGAGTGGTACTTCACTGGTCATGACTATCTATCAAGATGGTGGCCGTGTATAACAAAAAAGTGAAAATTCAACAAATGAAAAATAAAAACACTAAATGGGTAAAATCATACAAATTTATTGAAATAATTTCAGCCGTACATAAATTTCATGTCGAGCAAAGTTACAACATCCTGCGGTTGCCCATTTGCAGCCATAATTTAAGCTGGTACATGCTCCTTTGACTTTGGTAAATTTGAAGGACGGATGCCACTATTTTATTGATGGCCGCCATCTTGGTTGCCACGACACGTGAAGTCACGTGAAGCCTCAACCAAGATGGCGGCCAGAAAAGTAGTGCAAAACACGTGTTATGAAAAAGGGAAAATGAGGGGAGGGAGGGGAGGAGAGAAAATGTGTTCATAAAAAAAAAAAAAGAATATAAATGAAAGGAAAGAAACAGGGAGACCCCTCCCCAGATCCCCTCCCCAATTTAACAAAAAATATATAATAAGAAAATAATCGATCCCTAAACCTAACCTGAATCCTAAATAGATACCTAGCCCAAACTCTAAAACTAGCCCTGAAGCCGTGAGTAAAAACACATGGAATTTACACAATTTGGCAGGAAAATTAGGAAAATGAACAAAAACAAGAGAAATGGCAAAAAATTATTATAAAATAAAGAAGAAATAATGAAAACCCAACTTACAGCTTCATGAAATACACTTTTACACACTTTATTTCAAGTTTCACAGAAAATAATATCCACAACATGATGATGAAAAGAAAGAACAATTTTTTTTAACTTACCACGATGGCGTAAAACAATCAACTGACGTAACATTTAAGCACTCCTTTCTATATTCCCATCATGTTAAAGTACCAAATAAAAAAAATAATTAATCTATTTTTCAGTAATATTTTTAACATTCTCAAATTTCCACTCGCTCAAACTGACACTTAATAAACAAACTCCAATTTGCCACCACTGCTTTGTTAACAAAAAACAATAAAATATTAAACATTCCTCGGGCGCATGAATACTACTACATTAATTAAGAAAAAACAACATTTCTAAAAATAAATAAAGGGAAGTGACTCTCAAACGTAAACAATACCCAAAAGACGCCGTGGCAGCCGTCCTTAACATTAGCCGCTCCTTTCCCTCAACTAAACAATGTGTGTGACTACAATTACACACTGTGGTAAGAAAAATGTAAAACTGAAGAAATCATTACCAATGGCGCTACAACCCATGTAGGGCCCTGGCCTGCTCCACCACATCCTTCCATTCGGAGCGATCCATGGCTTTCCGCCTCCATGCACGAACCCCCAACTGGTGTAAATCCGTCTCCACATCATTGATCCATCTCAGCCTTGGGCGACCCGTGAGTTGTCTGCCCCTTGGCTTCTGCCTGTATATAACTATTGCCGCTCTACTCTCCGGCATCCTTTGAACATGTCCTGCCCAGCGTGATCTGCCTTTTTTTATCATTGTGACTATAGGTGGGTCTTTGTACAAATGTTAAAGTTCTTGGTTTGTACGGATTCTCCAGATATCATTTTCTATCACTGGACCGTATATTTTTTGGAGGATTTGCCTCTCTCATGTGTTGAGCAGGTTCTCTGCTTTTCTGGAAAGGGTCCAGGTCTCACTAGCGTACGTTACTACTGGTCTTATGATAGTATGATAGTGGTGTATATTGTCTTCTTTGTTCCCCTTGAGAGGTTTTTGCTTCCCAGTTGCTTTTGTAGGCTGAAATAGGAACGGTTACCTGCTGTTATCCTTTCTTTCACCTCCGACATTATCTCATTGTGCTCATTTATAGTTACCCCTAGATATTTGAATGTAGCCACTCTCTCAAATTTGTGGTTGTTTATGTTGATGTTATCATCAGCATGGGAGTTTCTTGACATTATCATCATATATTTTGTCTTCGGTTCATTTATGTCAAGACCAGCTTTGACTGAGGCATTTTCAAGTTCCATGAATGCTTTGATTATGTCCTTACAGTTTCTACCCAGTTTCTACCCAGTAGCGCTATATCATATGAAGAAAAGCAATACAAAATAATTTTATAATAATGAAAACCCAAATTACAGTTTCATAGGATACACTTTTAAACACTTTATTTCAGGTTCCACCAAAAAAAAATCCAAAAGTTGTCAGAAAATAAACACAATACTCTACCCATTTTCCAAAATGGAAGAAAATTTAAATATTATAATTAACCAACTAATGCAAATTTAATTAAAAACATTCCATTGTCATATTAAATAAAGTTATTTCAAGTAACAACCCAAGAAAAAACAAAAGGGAGAGAATCCTAAACAGACACACATCATGTCGCGGTTTGTTTAAATTAGCCAGGCAATGTATGACAGCATGCTTTGATTTTTTGTTAGTTTGGCTTTCTGAACACCGTCTTATACCACACAGCAATTCAACAGAGATAACTTTTGTTTCTTTCTTACATTTTTCTTCTTTTCCTTTTTTTTGTCTTTCTGGAGATGTTGATGTTGAAGAGGTGGATGAAGATTGCAATCTTCAAAAAATGCATAAATACATTTAAATAGGGCATGAGATGTAAACAATTATGTCTTAAATTATTGGCGGTTGTTAGGTTGGTAGGCACATAAAAAAAAAAAGTAGCACACAACACAGGAAAAAAAAAGTACATTTTAAGAGAATGGTTTAAAAATTAGAGATACATTGGTCCAAGGTGATCATCTCAACAACAAGTTAAATGATATGAAATCAAAATTTTTGCTCCATAGCTCTACGATCGGGACAGATTGGAATACAATGTGAAGCGGTGGTTAAGTTTCCACGACTGTTTGAGAAATATCCATTTCCCATTCTGATTAATTCAGCAATGCTTAAAATTGCTGATGTCTTTCGAGGAGGGTAAGAAACTGAATGCTTAAATGGTACAGAAATTTTTATTATTTTGGATTCTGAAGAATTTAGGTCTTCGTTTGTTTCTCAACAGGAATAAATTTTAAAATGTTAAATTTAATATTTTAATAGGTATCAATATTGTTTTTTTGTTTTTTTGGTTGCTGCTTGAAAAAAAAAATGTTTATTTCAGGAACAATTTTATCAGGCTTTGTATTCTGAGAGTTACACAACAAAGTGAGAAGCACTTGGACAAGATTTTCACAGTCGATGAGTTTACTCGCAGGATATTTGGTGTAATTCATAGCAATGACCCAGTAGCAAGGGCTATAACCCTCCGGTAAAGTTATATTTGCATGTCAGAAATTAAAACTCATCAATACCCGTAAAAAAGAATTAAATTTGTATCTTATTGAACTGTCAAAGTTACCACATAATCAACTGCATTTTTTTTATACCGGGAATATATATATTTTTTTTAAACCCCACTTACATAACTTTTTTTAATCATTAAGTAATGTCATGGGGGGGGGGATGATTGCAAAAAAGAAAGGTAAAAGCCAATATTAACACAAAGCTTGAAGTGAATGAACATAGTTAGGGGGGAAATGGGGAGTGGGGAGGTTTCATCTACATACCAATAGGACAAGAAGTAGAAGGAATAGACTTATGTAAAAAAACAGAAAATTTTTGGGAGTTTGTTTTTTTTAACAGATGAGAGTGTAGAAATGTGTCCCATAATGTCTTAAATTGCTACCCAGTAATTTAAAACTAAAAATAAAACTACCGACATAATAATTTAACATAGGAGTTTCTTAAATTTCTTTTAGTCTCCATTTAAAAAAAAAGAAGAAGTTGAGGTATGTTTTAATTAAATTGAAATGTACTGTTTTCAGTACACTAGGCAGTGTGGCCAGTATTATATCAGAGAAAAAGACAGTTCACCACAGTATCATTTTGTGTCTTGACTCCCATAATGCAGTGGAAGTAGAGGCAGCCATATTTGCAGCAGAAAAATTTTCAGAGAAATCAAAGTGAGTTCATTATTTGTTTTCCCCTTTAAAAATTTTTTCTCACTCAGCCATTATTCATTGAATGTGAATAGTTGTTTCTCTAAATGGCTTGAATTTATATTTGTTATAGATAGCTTTACTTATTGTTTTTATTTGTGTGTGTGTCATGCAGGAATTATTGCATTTGCCTTAGAGTTTGAAGAAGGCAGCTTATTAAATTATTTTATTGACATAATGTTCAAGCAACTGATTCTTCAAGGACCTGTGACCTATGTTCCAAATTCATATAGATTGGAGGGTGTATGGAGAGGGGGTGAAGCGCACATTATCGTGCTAGGGTAGACAGATTTCTCTGTTTTCTTGCAGCCAGTCCAATCATTAGTTGTAAAGCAAACTCATCAGTTCTGCATATTTGTCTATCAGGATGTTTGCTGCCAGTGTTTGCAGTAAAATTGGTCTAATGATTGCTGGGCTGGCTACCCCAACTGAGATGAAGCTGAAACTTGTCCCCATCCTGCAGCACATGCATCATGACACAGAAACAGCTACCAAGGTTAAACTGCATCTGCTTGTAATCTTATTTAGTTTCATGATGATATTTTAAACTTTTTACATGACAATGTTCTGATTTGAAATAGGGATTCCCTCTTTTTTTTTCTTTTTTTTTTTGTCAACTGGTTCTACATAAGTTATGCCTTTTTGAAACGTATTAAATCTCTTTGATATTGGTGATGAATGACGTAAATAGCACGAGAACGTGAGAACATGTTCCCTGTTTGAGGATAGATCTGGCGGCACCCTGACTCCATAATTACAATAATAAAATGTATTTCTTCTTAATGTTAGATGATTATCGACCCTTTACAGAGGGACATCATTTTATTTGAGCAGCACACCTTTCTAAACAGTCACGGTGCTTCAAGTAACTATCCCAGTCGATAGTTTTAGTAATATCATTTGATCTTCTGTCCTGTAGGCCAGTGAACTGTGCCAGTCTGTGCTGACATGCTACCCTGCCAGAAAATTTGTCACCTTGACACTGGACACCTTGACCAAGCTGACAGTCAAGTCACTGTTGCGCCTGCAGGAACATGTGGTCAGGCTGCTCTCGTATCTGATCTCCGACCCGAGGAGCAGTGTCAAAGCTGTCTGTTTGGACAACCTAAGGTTACTGGCCCTAAGAGCAGCTTATCTGTGGACAGGTGACAACTTAGAGGTAATATAATAGGACTTTTTAGTTAACTTTTTAAATTGTGACTTGAATTACTACTGGATAAAAATGTCAAATTATCTGTGGAAATTATATTTTACAAATTTGTTGTGAGCAGTTTAAAAGGAACAGAAATTTTTATAAGGTGTTGATATGTTAGCTTTCATATTTGTCCTATTTCTCCCAATTATTTCAGGAAATAGCAAAGTTTTCCCTACAGACATCATCTCATGTTCTCAAGATTAAAGCTGTTCGTGTTCTCAATGCTGTTTGTGGGAATGTTGCTGTCACACTCTTAGAATTATCACCAGGTACTATGTTTTAAATGTGGGCTTCCAGTAAAGTGTCTGCAACCTGAAGTGCTGATGTACCAACCGATAGAAACCCTTTCCTCAGGGACTAAAAAAAAAATATATTAAAGGAAATAAGCCAAACAAAGTACGGGAAAACCTGGAAAAATGGCACACAAAAAAAACGAAAGTGTCGACAAGAAGTCTTCTTTATTGAACAGACGAGTAAAAACAATATAGAAATTCACTTAACACATAGCTGCAATGTAGTAATATATATTTAAAAAACATGAATGTTCTTCTGAGATTTTTGTGCTTAACAGTACATCAAAAGATGCATTTCAGTTTAGAATATGAGGGAATGTGAAATAGAATAAAAACATCGATTAAGGGATGGTTATTTTCAAAACATTAGCAAGGTCTTTAATCTACATACAGGTAGAATTATAAGAAAACAAAACAATTGTGTTTGTCTTATGTGTCAAACTTATAAAAGGAATGAAAAAGCCTAGCAGTTAAACTCAAAAAGTAACAAAACGGCTGTAACAATTTGTATAGACTGATAAAGAATTTTTGAGTTTTCCCTAAATCCTGTCACAATGAAACAATGATGAATTGTGTTTCTTCCTTATTTCAGACACACCTGTCCTGGAAGTGTGTCGAGAATTTTGTTATGAGCCCAGCACAGAGTTGGCCACACAGGGGATAGAGCTGCTGACTAACTTGGCTAAGGTCAAAGGTAATGAGCTTTCAAAGTGCAACACAGGGGCTCTCAACCTGTAAAGGGGGATTATGGAACATTAATAGTTTTTTAAAATGCATCTTTTTCTTTAATGCACATTAAAATGTATCAAAACGCACTATTAAAGTAAATGACAATGTAATGTAATGTGTGAGTGTATTTGATTAGTAATTAAATATTTATTTTTTAGAATGTCTGGTACAAACTATATAATTATAAATATACATTTACATAAAAGTTGAATTGTTTATTTAAATTCTGTTCTTCCCAGGTCTAGGAGTGACTTGTGATCTTACTGCCGAGGCTGTTGGTGCCATTCAGACACATGTCATGCTCTTAGCCAGTGACAGAGACAAAGTACAACACCTGAAGATGGTCCTGAAGTGTGCCGTCACCATCTGTCAAACCTGTCGTCAAGTCAGTGACAAGGTTGTTCAGACATTGACAAGTTTACTGGGAACATCAGAAGGCAAATGTGTTTTTACTTTTGTTGTTAGAAGTTTATATTTTTCAAAAGCTTCAATGCTGAATTTCAATTTCATATGGTGCAGTTGTCAATTTAGAGGCTATGACCTTGTTTCAATCAGCAGTTTACTGCTAAATTGCCATGCTTTTTCCTTATGGCTTTTAAGACATTGTTAGAAAATAATTAAGTTTTTAGCTCTGTCTTGTCTTTCTCTGCTGGACTGATTAACATTGGCATTTACACAGATTTGATGAATGTTATAAGATTTTTAATGTTTTAAAAGTGTATACAAATGCATTCGTGAGTCTAATACAAGTGGTTACTTGAGTAACATGTAAATGAAATGGTTTGTCCCAACAGAAGCAAGCCAACTTCATTTGTGTGAGTGCCTAGCAGCAATCGGCTCTGAATGTCCCAGTGCCTTGGATGCTGTGTCCCCCCAAATCTTGGCCAGTCTGACCAAGACCATCAGCCACAGCCATCGTCAGTTGTCCCAAGTTCAGGTCATTTTTCTGTTTCAATATAAGGGAAATAGTAAACGACTTAGAAAATGGGATTTAAGCAAGTCTCTCAGCTATGTGTTCACCATAGTCTAGGCAGTCTCTCATCTATGTGTTCACAAGAGTCTAGACAGTCTCTCAGTTATGTGTTCACAATAGTCTAGACAGTCTCTCAGCTATGTGTTCACGATAGTCACAGTCTCAGCTGTGTGTTCACCATAGTCAAGGCAGTCTCTCATCTATGTGTTCACAATAGTCTAGGCAGTCTCTCAGTTATGTGTTCACAATAGTTGAGACAGCCTCTCTCTTTCTTTTGATATTTAAATAGAGTTGTACTAATAAGATATAGGGATCTTAACTTTCAAAGCCATGTGTTCATGATAGTCCAGACATTCTCTCAGCTGTGTTAATGATGGTCTAGACCAGGGGTCGGGGACCTTTTTGTCTGGGAGAGCCATGGACACCACATATTTTGAAAAGTAATTCTGTGAGAGCCATACATTATGTTTAAAACTAAAAATTCAAGTGAATGTGTGCATTTTGTGTAATTTCAACACTAAAAATGCAATAATCATGTCTCTGAATTCTCTTTAATAACATTGTTATGCTGTTGCTAATGAAATATTGATATGCAATTAATATGCAGATCAAAGGAGTCGAAAGAAAAAAATTTTTTGTAATGGAACATTTGTCTGCGAGCCAGATGCAGCCATCAATAGAGCCACATCTGGCTCGCGAGCCATAGGTTCCCGACCCCTGGTCTAGACAGTCTCTCAGCTGTGTTAATGTTGATCTAGACAGTCTCTCAGCTGTGTTAATGATTTTGAATTGATTGAATACTTATATAGCGCTAAGTATCCATGCTATCTTAGCATGCTCACTGCAATGGTCTAGACAGTCTCTCTGTTATGTGTTGATGATAATTTTTTCCCAGACTAATAGGTAATATGGGATCACAACTTTCAAGAAAGGCTCTACTTTCTTATTGGTCTGTATGGACAGTTTAGATTTGTTTTAAGGATTAGATACATTTAATACGGCTACAATTAATGAAGATACATATAATAATAATAATAAAGGGTCTTAAATAGCGCTGTACCCCAGCCTGGGGCTGGGCTCACCGCGCTGTACATAAAAATTTTATCAAAAGAGACATAATCATGACATTAAAATAAAATACATTTATGAAATATAGAACAGCAAAAAAAATGTATATTCACCCACCCCAACACATAACTTTTACAAGGCAAACCATGGACGGCAGCCAGCAAGATTGTTTATCAGTCAGAGGAGGGGAATCACTCAGGGTAATACCTGTAAAATTAATGAAATACAAACTAAAAAACTTAACATGACTGGGAGAAATTTACTGTTTGAAAAATTATTGTTTTATTATTTTGTAACCATTTCCTGAACTGCTAGGAACCAACAACGGTGTTATTTTTCTGTGATTAATATTATAAACATGCGACAAAACTAAATCATAGAAGAAAACAAGGAAATGTACATATTAAGATGCAATTTAAAATAAAAAGAAATTTTCTGTACGGTAACTGATAAAATTAAATATTGCTGCGGTTATCCATTAGGCTACTTCCTTTTAAGCCATTGTTTGATGTCCTGTGTGTTTCAGGTTCACATGTGTACACTCTTATTTCAAGCAAGTTGTCAGAAGCCGATGAGTGCTCCCATCCATGGCCAGGTGATGGCCTGCATCGCCCAGGCCAACCATTGGGTGGCCTACAAAGTGGCACGTCAGGCAATGAGATATTCACAGTACCAAGTGGCTTATGCCATTCTCAAAACTTTGAATCTGCAGGTAGAGACTTTGTTTGTTTCTTTTATTTTTAACATTTAAATTTTGGTAGAGCCTTAAATTGCTACATTGAAATGTTATTCCCCCAGTCACAAATGGGTTAAAGAACAGAGCGCCATTGTTGTTCAGGTAACTTATAGGGTGGACGGAAATTAATTCTTTCTGCAATATTATGTTTCTGGCTTTCCAGACTTGGCATGATAATTTTGGGGTTAACAGCGGAAGTTCCTAAGTTACTGGAAATGAAGGGGCAGGGATGTGTTAATACATAACATTCCTGGACCACCTCTAGAGGTAGAGCATTGTATGTAAGAGAGAACTCTTTGAGACATAGACAGTTGGGTTAGGGATAGAGTTTGGACGGTCTATCTGAAGTGACAACAGACTTAGTGGTAGTAGTCAAATATAGACCTAAGGATAGAAAGTTTGGGAAGTGTCAGAGTTAGGAAAGAGCCACTACTGGATTTGTTTTACTATATTCATCAATACATATCTTCTTTATAATTGTTGCCGAGGAGTTGTTTGCTGATTTATTAGTGTCCTGTCTATGCTTCGTTGTTATCTTCAATGCCTGGACTGATGAGCCACCACAGAGAGGAGCGGTCCTGTATTAGTCACAATGATACCACTTGTTATGGGACCATAAGTATGGGCCATGCCGCACAATACCATCCATTCTGTGAAACCCCCCACTTTTGTTATTTTCTTTCCACTTTTCAAATTGATGTGTACACTGTTGTCCTGGCAGGTTGTGACAGAGCAGGTCCACTATTGGTTATTAGGACTGCAGCATGCGTGCGCTGCAGAGAATCACCTGAAACAAGCCAAAAATGATCACTCAGATCTGATCCATTGTATTGCTGATGCAGTGAAGATGTATGTCAAAAGTCATGTCACCTTAAAGGTCAGATGTCACCATTGACATTTTTTTTATGTGTCGCAATAAATTTGTCGGCTGGAAACTTATTCAATGAGAATATATTTAAATATGCACAGTATGATAAGATATGTAAGACTTCATACAATAGGATAAAATAAAATTTTAAGCAAACATTTTTTTACATTCATCATCATTCTGAAGCTGTCCCAGTGCCATATGCCAAGAAATTCTTTCCATTTTCTCCATGTATCTATTCTTTCTAACCCACTCTATTTTGGATTAATAACTAGTCTTAAAAAATTGATCATGGTAATTTTTGTCTTGGGTAAATTTTTAAAATCTGGTAAATTTTTAAATCTAGTTAGTTTACTCATATTTTTAATACAATTTCAGGCTGCAGGCACCCCCAACACCCCACTGGAGTTTGCTTGTGCATATGTGACCATGCGTATGCGAGTCCTCCAAGCCCACCACCTCCTGCTCTTGTCTTACTCCTCCTTCAATTCAAAACCTCCGCCTGCCATTTCCACAGCATTAGCTGCCACCAATGGACAGGAAGGGACAAGGTGGGCCCAAGTGGTCAATCAGGTATGATTCAATCAGGTCAATCAGGTACAATCACTTGAATTAATATTCCATTATGTTTAATTTTTTTTTTCCCTATATTATCTATATGGTGCTGGCATTTAAATTATATTATAATTATATATATATATATATATATATATATATATATAAATTTAAATACATAACTCATATTCAATATTGACAGAAATGTTTTTAGTGCAGTGTTATCTGTCTACATATAGAGAAAGGGACAAGGTGGGCACAAGTGGTCAATCAGGTATGATTCAATCAGGTCAATCAGGTACAATCACTTGAATTAATATTTCATTATTTTTTATTTTTTTTTTCCCTATATTATCTATATGGTGCTGGCATTTAAATTATATTATAATTATATATATATATATATATATATATATATATATATAAAATTAAATTCATAACTCATGTCCAATATTGACAGAAATGATTCTAGTGCAGTGTTATCTGTCTACAGCTAGAGAAGTGCTATAAGGAGTATGAGGAGGCCAACTGTCTAGCTTCAAATCTCTACAAGTCTTCTTTTGATGCAGATCCCGCCTCCTTGCTTAATATCAACATGTATCCTTTGGAAGTTTAAATTTTGAAAATCACCGCAATGCCGTTCAGACATTATTATGAATTTCATTTTATTTGATTTTTCTGTATCTCTCAATTAGCTTATTTTGTTATTTAAAATCATTGCATTGCTTTCTTCAAATGTTAAGATATTTTGTTGACACTGGAAAGCAAAAGTCATTTTAAAAAACTTATTTTATAATGGTGATGGGAACAGAGTCAGGAGCAGCACATGAGGTTCTAAGAGGTTGGAAAGCAATTATTTCTATAGAAAATAGATGATCTGTCAAAAGCAGTTATAAACCGGGTACCGGTATCTAAAAAGAATTTAAGCCACTGATAATCATATTATGTTGAGAAAAATTAAATCGCAACTTGGTTTACTAGTATGTGTAAAAATGGGTTGGGTGTTATTTGAAAAAGTACCCGATGCTCAAACAGTTGTCCTTAGCTTACCTAACCAGGATACAACACAGCTGCAACTGTATCAAGTCTCTTATCTCTACCATCATTACTACCATACAAACAGGGTAAGTCAAACGGACAGGAGAACTTAAGTGACGATGAAGCTATGTAAGCGGTATATTGTATAGCCTTTGAATCAGACCAAGTTTTTTTTAAAATTTCAGCTGCATTAACTGAATTAGATAATAAAATATTTAACCACCACAAGGAAGACATATAATTATTACTTATATTATAACACTAGTAACCAGTTAATGTAAAACAAGATGGTAAAATTAAACAGTTTGTTTTGCAATAAATTATATCTGCATTAATTATGGTATTGTATACTGGTACCCAGTGGCGTAGCTAAGGGATGCAGACTGCACCGGGTGACACCAAATTGAAAAATTCCATTTTTACAGAGCAGCCACTGCTCAATCTAACTGAATTTCATAAAAGGATAACCGATCACAAATTAATTTTTCCACACATGTAACCAATCCAAATGCATGCTTTATTAAAAGTTCAAGGTTGATGCGTCGGAAATACTGTTACCCAGTGGCGTAGCTGGGGATGCGGACTGCACCGGGTGACACCAAATTGAAAAATTCCATTTTTACAGAGCAGCCACTGCTCAGTCTAACTGAATTTCATAAAAGGATAACCGATCACACATTAATTTTTCCATACATGTAACCAATCCAAATGCATGCTTTATTAATTAAAAGTTCAAGGTTGATGCATCGGAAATGAGGTGACCCTTTAATTAGGTCAGAAAAAATCCGTTTTAACCATGATTCAATTCAGTTTGAAGTGTCTGTAACTTTCGTAAGTGACAGGAAGCTATATTTATCTAATTCTGAGAAATAAAACTTTCCATAGATACCAAAATGATGTGGTCAGGCGATTCTAAGTACCTGTACATGAAGCGAATCCATTTTTTTTAAAATGACTTTTTACCCATTAATATTTTACAAAATTTCGATCTTTTAATAATTTATTTTAAAAATTTTTTAAGTAGGTTTTTGAAACCAAATATAAAGGAACCCAGGTTTACTCCAGTATAAATATTTTCGCTGATTCGTCACTAGCATCGCCCTCTTAACATTGGAGCATGATTGTTATAAAGCACAAGGTCTTTATCATGCTGTCTGTGATTTCACATTTATCTGCTACCTTTACCTATGGGCTGATCTACTTGAGGAAGTTAATCTTACACAGCAGTATCTGCAGACTAAACGCTTTACTCTTGACAATGTGGTGACCAATCTAGAGGCCTTAACATTGTTTCTGAAGTTTGCGCAGGAGAAGCGCTGTCGCATGGTGAAACATGCTATTGAACAGGCACTTTTAAATCAGACCAATGTGGAATTTCGGTAGAGAGGAAAATAAGATTTAAGAAGAGAATGGCAGGATAACATCGACGTTATAACACCAAGGACAGTCTGGTTTTGGTAATGTTTTGTTGCTGCATCCATGTACTGGCATCTTTGCAACGGTTGGGGATATGATGTTGCTATTCTAACAGCTCCTAGCTGATGCCAGGGCAGCCTTGAAACTTTCGACCGATGTCGAGTTCACAGTGGCATCGTTCAGGTGGTTCCATGCTATTATTGTGCGTGGGAAGAAAGATTGTTGATACTACACTGTGTTGCACTAAAGCACTTTGAAGCATTTGCTATTGTTTCTGGTGTAATTTTTTATGGGAATGTCAGTGGTGAAGTCAGTGTTCAGCGTTTTGCTCTGATCAGTCTACCTGGCTTCTGTGGGGCTAGGTATGTTCCTGCTGGGATGGCCGGCACCAGTTCCATGATCACTTTATATAAGAATATCAGGCGGAGTCCCTCTCGTCTGTCTTGGGGAGGGGAGGGGGCTATCAAATCTTTTTAAGAGGCCAGTGACGAAGCCAGGAATGGTGGATTTGTAGGGTCGAGCGATAAAACGCATCGCGTTATGTTGAATTCGCTCCATCGCGTCCACGTCTTGTTTAAGGTGTGGGTCCCAGATGATTGCACCATATTCCAGTAGTGGACGGACGAGTGCGAGATAGGCATTTCGTTTGCAGGAAGTTGGGCAGTGGCGCAAATTTCTTCGGATGAAACCTAGGGTGGAGTTGGCTTTTTTTTTAATTTTGTTTATATGGGGTGACCATTTTAGATTATTTGAGAAGAGAATTCCAAGGTATGGACTATTGGATACATGTTGGGGGATTGTCTCGTTTAGTGAGTAAATATGAGTTGATGTTTTTTTTCTTGAGATTGTCATAGTGTAGCATTTGGTTTCATTAAATTTCAAGCCCCATTTGTCCGCCCAATTCATAAGGCACTTCAAATCTGTTTGAAGGTGGTTGTGGTCATCGTTGCTGTTTATCTCTCTGTAGATAAGACAGTCGTCAGCGAACAGCCGCACTTGAGAATTAACTGTATCGCGTAGGTCGTTTATGTGACAGAGAAAGAGAAGGGGGCCCAGCACTGTGCCTTGTGGAGATCCCGAGTCTACGGTGGGTTTCCCTGATTGGGCACCGTCCACCACTACTTGCATGTCAAGGCTTTCTAATCTGGCTCTACTATTATTCAAGTGACACAGTGAAGGATATTGATTTTGATCAAATGAAGACCAGGAAGATTTTTAATAAAGTAAATTTAATGTAAAATAACTATAACTTAACGTTGTTACAGTTCTTAAATACATTTACGTCCTGACCTTCAATTAATTTTTTTTATGTTCTTGTCATTGTTATACCGTGGACTTATTTTAGCAAGAAGAAATCCATCATGGAAGTCACTGCTGGTACCGGTACCTGTTATAGACTGAACTAAAATATTTTAAAATTTCATCACTTTTGCTAAATACAGATGCAATGGGGGTTTGGTCAGCAGTCATCCTTGCAAATCAAGAATAGTCAACAAATCCATGAATTATCTGTATTAAAATGTTGCTGTATGCGCAGACTGTAAATAATTAAAAGAACAATGTGCCAATGATTTTCAGTTATTAATTTATTAATCCATGGTAGTTTTTTTAATTTGTATTACCGTACATAATACAGCAAGAATGTTAAGTTGTCACTTTTTATGACAAATTGACATCGAATGGTTTAAAGGCACACACTTCTATTGCTGCCCACAGATACTACTTACCAGCTAAGTGCTATTTTTTATTTTTATACCGTTTTTTCTGTTGTTTTGTTCGCTGACGAAGGCTTTCTGCCGACACGTTCGCTGTTTTGTTGCGTTTATTTTTTCAGGTTTAACCCTACTCTGTTTTACTCATTTTATTTTGTACTAACCTGATTGCAGTCTCTCCCCTTATTACCCCTATCATCAACTACAGTTGGCGTTTACCAGATTGGATTTATTCAGCATCATCTCTATAATTTTTAAATTTTATATAACAGACAAAGCAATCTTGGGGAATGCCAATTCCTAACTTCAAAAAAGAGTGAAACTGCATCAAGTATGGCTGCCACACTGAGTGTCATGCAAGAAATCTCTAGTGCTATGGACAAAATTTTACCAGAGACCAGCTCTTCAGCTGTTATATCACATAAGGTAAACATGATGCCTCCTTTATTTTTCCCCAAGTAATTTAAATTTTAATGCCAACATTTTTGTCATTTCCCAAACTGTGCTCAGATGGTATTTAAAAGAGCTGCCCAACAGATATTAGCACACTAGATACATACAAACATAACAAAAAATTTTTACAAATTTTCTTGAATTCTGCCAGCTTGTGGATATTCTGTCCTCATCAGTGGCAGGATTTGTACAAGCCTTACCCAGTTTCCCAAGATTCTTTTTCCAGACGTTACAGAATACTGTAGTCAAGGTATGAATCTGTCATTTTCCATGGCTTAATACATCAAATCATTAGAACACAATTAGGTGGTACCTAAAAAAATGCAAAGTTCTTGAATCTGAATGAGAAAGCTACTGTTGGTACCTGTACTTATTTGTCTTTGTTCATTTTGTCATTGATTACAATAGTTTCCTATTGGGCATTAATAAAATCTACATCATTGAGCCTGTTTGTTCAGATTCAATCAAACTCGAAGTACGATTTGGAACATTCAGGTCATAGAAATGTAAATAATTATGTTTCTCTCCCTGTTTTATCATCACTAGAAGTTTCTTTTTCAGTTGGCTGTCTCACCCCAGCAAAGTGCCAATCAGGAGCCAATACCCCTTAGAGCAGACACTCATCTTTCTCTGCGTGTCGAGGGTGTGGTACAGCATGGTGAACGTCCAGCGCTTTTCCGTAAAGTCAGTTCTGTGATCATTACTGTCAGTACCAGTCTGGTCAGTAGGAGCAGTGCCATTAATCCAAATGCTAAGGTCAGTGCTTTTTTAAAAATTAACCCTATAAGTGTCATAAAGGCCAATCATCGGCGTTATAACCCTTTCTGTGAGGTATACCCCTAGCAAAATCGTCATTAAAAATAAAAATGCATATGATTTAATGTACCCCGGTGTATCGGTTAAAGGGTAATCACTCTGTATTAATAAGTTTGCCTCCTATTTCTGTGACTATCTGTGTGTTAAACCTGCTTTTATTACGGGTTTTTTTGTGATTAATCGGGTGTGAAATTTTTTCACTGCCATAATTTCTGATGCTGGAGAGGGTCCCCATAGATTGCAAAATCAACAGACTTTCTTTATTGGAATTATTTTAAATGAATTAAAATAAAAGCAATTATTTCAGAGATATTCCACATGCTATTAATGACAATATTAGCTGTAGGGATGATGGTGACATGAGAGTCAGATATTGACAATTTCAGCCATAAGCTGTGGTATTGTTGCAGACAAATTCATTTGGGAAAGGGTGGAAATTGAAAGAAGAAGACAAAGATTGGATCCCAAAGAGTTCAAAGCCCTACCCCAAAGACATTTATGTTTGTGAATGTTCTTGAGTTTTAATTTTAAAAATGGATTTAATAACTTCACAATTGAAAAGAAATTTTTGATCTCATTTCATGCCTTTCCCCTTGTAGTGAATGAAAAAAATTCACCAATATTACAATTTTCAATATAAGTAACTATAACTTGACGTTTTCTGAAAGAATATTGCGTTAATATCCCAAAGAATTAATGTTATTATAGTTAAACAATTTATGGAGTATCAAGTTGGTTGAATTCAGAAATTGAGTAGTAAAATTTTACTGACTCTGTACATCTGTACTGTCAAGGTCAACATCAAAATACATAATGTAAAAACAAATTCTTTTCATACCATGAGATATAAAACTTTGTCCAGTGTACTTTAACTTTAAGAAAATGTATACTACTTGTAAGGATCTCTGAATTCATTTAGTACAGTACCGGTATGGGATTTTTCTCATTTTTGACAAGCATATGATAATGCTACAAATGGCTGAAACTACAGAAATATATTCTGGACAGCGATAGGTTTTTAAAAAAATGACAATTAAGATGCTTAATAATTAACAATACAAACAGTAAGTAAATTCAAGAATAAATGTTCAGCGGAAAAGGAGAGGAGCACATTCAATTCAAGATTGATTTAAAATTTAGTTTAGGCAATTATTATAAATTAATATGAAGGATTTTTGTTTTCTTCCTTATCAGACCAATGAAAACACAAGTGTTCAGATGAGCCAGACGGTCCAGCCACACAATGATTACTTTAGCACTAGCTTTGTCTTACCTTTCTCTATTTTGGGCATTCATGTAGTCAAAGTAAGTTCATAGTCATATGACAATTTTTAAAACAAAGTGCCTTCTCTGTAAAGATAATACAAATTTCTCTTGAGATCTTTTACTCTGAGCAGTTACGAGGACATGCATTCTGCCATTATCAGTGTCATTGTAATTATCTGTATTAAGTGGGTACGCCAAAAATAGACCTTTAAAAGGTCAAACTCCCTCCGGAGAGACTCAGACTATGGTAACTGAAAGTAAAGCAGTTAATCTGTTTTCAGATTTAATATTTAAATGTAAACATTTACAGGTTTCAAAATATTCATGTATCTTCTAAGGTTGAGGCAGGTGTGGTGGACGAGAACGGTGTCGGCTGGAGCACAGGCCCACGGACAAGTGTAACTGTTAAGTCCTACGATGACAGCATTCTTAGACAGCAACAAATTCGTGCCAGAGCAACACAGCAGCAAACAACCAGTCAGCAGTATATGCAAACTCCTCACATTTGATTTTTTAATGTTCATCAGATGTAACCAAAAAGTCAGCTGACAGGAGGCTCTTATTATGTTGTATCAAATTGTGTTATTGAAATGTGTGGCTAAACAATGTCAAAAAAAAAGACTAGTGTCAGCAATTTCTGAATGGTCACTAAATTGAGACTTGACAAATTTTGTCTAACCTGCACCTGAAATGACCTGTTAGTTTCAATGATAAAATATGTATGTATATAAAATTGTTGCTTTAATAACATTAAATTATTTATAACTTTAAGAATTTTTTGTGAATTTTTACCGGGTATCATACCGTGATTTTTATAAGCCAGGTTTTAAGCAAATACAATTAGTGTTGAGCCATGAGAAAATTCATGCTTATCTTGAAATTAATTACAGCAATGGCTGTCCTTTTCAATAAACTCGGTGGTTGTTTTCTCCCTATCTTTAATAGTATTTATTTATGATTAACTTGAAAATACTTAAAAAATCAAGAAACAGTTCAAAATATTTTATTGAATACACAAATGAAAAAAAAAAAGAATCAGCATGACATGGATGAGATAAATTAGATGAAAATATGATAGAGAAATCTTGCTTGATGAGAGTGGTGGGAACAAACTAGAATTTATGTGGCTGAAAATAAGAAAGAGCAGGGGAGTTCAGGAGAAAAAAATTATTTCTAGAATGGACAACTTAAACATTATTTACCGAAGTTTCTGACTGCCACAACAGGCATGACAAAGTTATAGATGCAATTTTCAAAACTTACATTGGCGGGCTGTGTGTTCATTGAGGAATGCAATAAATATCAATTTTTGTATGACAAAACGGAGCCTACACTGTTGCATTTTTTTTTAAAATGTACATCTGATTTAAAACTGCTTTTCTTGTATACAATTACAAGTGACAGATGGATGAGTACCAAAACATTTCTTCCAAAAACTGTTATGCCATTGTAAAGATGACGACCAAAAGCTATTGATAGAACAAACACAAAATTTCAATTGTAAAGCAAGGATAATCCTAATTCAGACACTTTTGATATTTTAGAATTAAATCTAAACCCCTAACCCTAATTTTGCTTGTAACAAAAGGACGACAATAATTGTGTATACATCAATATGGGATTTTGTTTTTATATCTTGATAATGGCAAACAATGAGTGCAAATGGTACAACATGTTTCATCAAATTGTTAAAGGCGGTAATTGTTAAGAAAATGATACAATATATAAATATTTCAAGCTGCCACAAACGCCATGGTAACCCTTTCAGATACACTTATATTTGGTACGTGAGGTGAGCGCTCAAACGTTATGGCAATCCTTGCAAGTACGATTATATATTCCAGGCAAAACATTCTTTAATGTTAACCGCTTCAGTTACACTATTATTTAACACAAGGTGAATTACATTATTAATTATACAGTCTTCTCTGATGGAAAATATGTCAAGTTGTTTGTAATATTTCAATGTCTTGTGCAGCACAAGCAAAGTTTGTATTATTACCCTGTAACTTAAAATGTTAAAGATTTTTGAGAAAACGAGTCATTCTGAGTTGAAAAAGTCATTTATTCTAAGTTTAACTACTTTTCAAAAGTGAGATTAAAATGTTCATCCTTCAATTCATTACCAAATTTTTGTTACGGTAACTTTTGCCAAGGAGCCTTGTGAATGAATCCAATAGTCTTCATCTTAAGGAAATTAACTACATGAACCTGACATAAGCTACCAGAAATGGCAGCTAAATAAACCACATCTACTCAAAATTCTTCAAGCATTTCCTATTTTTTGTATTGTACATATTTGCATAAAGTGTCATTAAGACAACAAACAACAATAACGTTAAACAGATCCAGACAACTCTGTTATGTCATCTCCCACTTTAGGGACAGATCCTTGTGAAAGAGTCCAACACAAACAGCTTAGTGTATATTTACACTCATGAGTTGCACAGAGATGGTCCATTTTAAAAGTTAAAAATACAAAGTGTTTGGTTTTTTTCCCTCATTTTTTTTTCATTTATGTATTGGGGACAATGGTCTAGGGAAACCAGGTGGTTGGTAATTATCTGTTTTAGAATACTTAGTATTTAGATGTAAAGAGGCTAAGACACTTTGTTTTTGAGGATGAAGTTCAAATTAGATAGGGGCAAAACATCAGATCAATACTAATTGCTCTATAGTATTACCAATCTGTTAGATCGGACATCATATTTTTAGAGATTCACTAGCTAACAATGAGATCAAGTTATTAAGGTAGTTATAGTTATCCACTACATTCCCTGGGGCTTCCTCAAGTTATTTTACAAGAATCTTGAAAATACAATTATTTTTAAGCACAAACTTCCTATCAATATATCAAACTTTTTATAAATGAATTATGCCACAACCAGCCTTGATGGGGTGATATTTATCAAAGTGATTTTTTAATGGGGGAAATGGCGAAAGATGATTGTATTAAAATAAACATGTAATAATTATTCAAGTTTTAATTTAGTTGAGCTTAGAAGGAAACAGTTTTTTCACTTGCTTGTAATTTTAAGCAGCTCTGAAGTTATAATTGAGATCTAATCAAGTTACTTAAACATTAATCTATCAATTTGTTCTCCTTCTATGACACAACTCTGTTTTCAGTGTAATAAGGGAGTGGCTTGAGATAAAAGAACAAAATTTACTGATTAAAAAAAAAACATGTCACAGAATAATAATTTGACTGACCAAACTACTGGTTTCCCTAATAACAATAACAGGGTTTTCAAAAAAATAATTGATATTAACATTTAGGACATTCAAAAACTACCTTAATTGTAGTCTAAGACCCTTGTTACTGTGTAATGTAAAAATAGTGTACTGATTGTGAGTTATTTTCCAAGGGTGATCATGGGAGGGAGGGGCAGTACAAGAAATGAGGTCAGAGAAACATTGACCTTCAACTAACTTTTTTTATTTTGTTTTATTAAAGAAATACTCTCCAACACTAATGGAAGACATGAAAATACTGTTTCCCTCCTACTCAAAATCAAGATGGATGAGAGACAAATTTGAGTTGCACACAATACTTTCTAACCTTAAAGAACTGAAGTTTCAGGCAACTGAAACAAATCAGAAATTAAGTTTAAATTGGAGGTGCCCTGACAAGGTCAAGGTAGAGACAAAATGGTCAGCTAAGAATACTAAGAAGTCCTGCAGCAATTATAATGGATGTAAATAAAAAAAAAAAAAACAAATCCCAATTACAGATTTTCTCAATTATATTTAGTCTCAACTCCTGAATTTGTGAACAAAATTCCACTTGTTCATCAATTTAACCAGTTTAAAAAAAAAAACACAATTTCAATAATGTAACTGCTTTGGAAATGAAAATGCTTTCACTCTGCGCAAGACCTACACCTACTTTTCATTTAAACATTTTCAAATTCTCACAATCGTATGTATTGTTCTGAGGTACATTCAATTAATATGACCATTCAAGTAATAATACCAGTCTTTTTTTCCCCTTAGTCAAATTAATGACACACATTTACATAAAATTCATTGGCACTCTCTGTTTGGTTAACATATCCAATACATTTACATACATGTGTTGTCTTCATTCTGTAAAAGAAAATCTCTGTGAACAATTGAACCAAAGCCTCACACCCTTGATCCATGTTATTAAAGTAGAGTAACATTGTAGATTGGAAACTTACCGCAATATGAAAGTCTTAGCTGTTTTAGATTTTAAAAATAGAAACTGGATTTAAATTGCAGTAAATTCTCTTTTATTTTTTCATATTTCTGGAACAATCAAAATGATCTCTAGTTTAGAATATCCGTTTAACACCCCTCTGTGACTTCAAATCAAATAGCAATCATATAATCAACAAGCAGAAACATTGAGAAAACCTGTTCAAGTCACACTGACTTGCGAATATACACAATATATTCAGTAAGCTTTCCCACCATTAAAAAAACTGATTAGCCAGCCTCATCAAACAAAGTCGGGGCGCTGCACCAGACCGGCCAAGTAAACCCAAGCACACAAGTTGTATAAAAGTCATCCATCCACACAGGTGCCTCCCCTCTTCACGGTTAATCTCTCCACAACAATGATGTATCAACACAGAAAATTTCTCCACAACAATGCAATTAATATTTACAGATGATTAGGAAAGCCAACAGTTGGTCAATGATACAGTTTTTGAGGGTTCCAATTCTCCTGTTCCAGCCCCATAGAAGGACAACCTCTCTTGTAGCAAGCACCATCTCTACCTGGACAAAACCCATTTCAGGATATATTTATGGGACAAAGACATGGACCTGTTGTGATAAAAAAATTTAAATAACATGAGAAGCAGAATTTTTAAATTTAAATAACCATAATTATAAACAAATCTTTACATGTACCTTGTTTATCTCTAACATCATGCAACCTCTTTCATACACAACAAAAAGTTATATCCATGCATTAAGCTGTGTAGATAAGACTTCTAGACTTTAAACAATTTTAACTGAAGGCAAACAGGTGAACAGACTACCAAATGTAAGTCCAATAAATCGAGAGGAAAGTAAAGGCATATTAAAATTTCTTCAAAGCCAGTACCTTACTCAATTACTTGTACAATATTCAATCCAAGACCACCACTTCCTGCTGCCCTGCTCTATGGCCATTACCCAAAGACCCTGAAGGTAGAGGTGGTTTCACATTTAGATGCTTCCATGGATTACGAGCCAGGCGTTTAAAATCGTTCATCTGAAGCTGCTTGCGAATTTTCCTAAAAACAATATACAAGTTTGATTTTGGTTAGTAAACAAAAAATATATTTAGTAATCCAATGACAAGCGTAAAATCTACAAGCCTACAGAGTGCTGATATGCAGTGGAATGTGAAACATATTGAGACCAATTGATTGGGTTGGGAATCCTTACTTTTATTTATACTTCATTACAAAACTTCTGAAATATACTTCTTAGTTCAAATAAAATGGCAGCAAGTTTTTTAAATGAGCTGAATCTGACAACATCTTTAAATCTGAATATGGATCATTTTATTCTTCTGACTCATATGATGGTGAGCAAGATAATCATACGTTTAAAAGGAAGTTATGCACTCATCCATTTTGATTTAGAATTTCACGAAACATAATTGGTAACCAGACTTCACCTTCTTTTAAAAGATTAAACGCCCTCTTAAGACTTACCCTGTCAAAAATGCTCAGCTCTGTAGCATTCCGGGAAACTAGAGATACTATCGTTTGAATGAAATACCCAAACCAAACCAAGATTTATAACAAGATTATAAACATCACCCATAAAAAGTTACAAATAAGAATATCTTTAGGTTAAAAATATTTTTTTAATAAATTATCTTTAAAATAATAAACATTTTTAGTGCCCAAGCAGGTCAGGTCTATATTTTGGGAAATACATTGAAAAATATACCCCTATAGACCTTCCACTTATATTTTAATTAAATATATTTAAAAAATACAAAACAAAAGCCAGTTGTGTCTTTTGTCCATCATAGTTAATTAGCTTTATTTGATTTCTTCACAATTTTTTCCACTATTTTCTTTCACTAAGTGATCATGGAACCCATGATGATTACCCTATTTCCTACCCTCTATCCTAATCATATTATGCACCCTAAAAAATAATAACCTTAAGTTATGAACTCTGAGAATTGCAAATGGCAGTTGATTTCTAAAAGTTAAGGAGCTGATGAAAATCTCAATGTTATAAAAACTTGGCGCTGAGAAAGGGCGGCCTGCATTTTTGGTTCACAACTGTAAATAAAATAACATTCCCTTCGACAGAGTAAATCACATTTTTGCCGCCACAAATTCTATTCTTTGTATAATTGAATCATTTATTTTTCTTGCTGGAAAGTTTGCTTTTGTCTCCCAGAGACGATCAAAGTCCAAATGGTGGGCAACATTTTTGGTTGTTATTAGATTAGGTTACATGCAACTTTTGCCAGCATAATTTAGATTCCAATGAGCAATAATAACCAATTATCTGTAATGAACCCAAAAATGACTACCTGGTGACACGCACATTGTTTGACATTAAAAATATATAAAAAAAACAAAAATTAAGCTTTGACTGGGGGTTTAGATCCAATCAGGCATAATAAACATTCATGCAATGTGAATCAAACAACATGTTTACATTGTCGATCAAAACATTAAATTAAACAAATAAAACAAGATTAACCCCTAAGTTTTTTTTATCTCTCATCATTTCATCAAAATGTGTAACTAAATTTATTCCTATTAACTATTTTACTTCATCAAAAAAATGTTTTTTTTTAAATGTTTTTTTTTATATTTACTTCAAATTTGTCTTTTGTTCTTTCATTTTTTGTGACTATTATTATTATGAATTAAATATTTTTTTTAAATATATAAATAATTATTGTCTAATTTGTATCAAATTTTGTCAGCATGTTTTAAGTCTTCATGTACCCATGAAGAGTGGAAGGACTAGAAAGCCTCACCTTGTTGCCCCTGTTGCCACAAAATATACATCATCTGGCATGTCCATCCAACTGACCATATGCATCTTCACGTTGCGGCCAGCAAAGCGACTTCGTCCATTGATGCTGTTGTGGTTGAGCACACTTCCTCGCTGAAAGAAAACACCGTATAGCGGCACTTCACCCCCACTGTTTCGGATGGCTACATATGTAATACTCCCTCCCACACACACTTATTTCCAGTACTGGAATCTTAAACGTGCTCTTCCTCTATTACTCAAGAAAATTCTAAAAAACCTCTAATTAGTAAAAAAAAATATATTTTTTAATGAAAGCTTTTTACTTGAGCAGCAGTTGGCATTAATTGTGGTTAAAAATAAACAAAAAAAGATAACTCAATAAACACAATGACACGCAATATTTGGACATTATTTTTTCAAAAACAAATGCCATATTAAAAAAAATGGTTATGAGATTCTGCAAAAATCAAAGATACAAAAAAAAAAAAGGAAAAAAGAAGCTGCAGCAGGTGTGTCAGAGAAACAATTTCAACCGAGTCTGCTTCACAAAATGTGGCATTACGCCATCGCTCAGAATCAAGTTTTAAGTGATTCACTGATATTTGCAGTGATGGTGCTGCTCTTGAATGTGCACTGTGCAACCAGCACTTGCAATTGCATAACAGAAATATTTTAAAAGCGGAGGGGATGATTAGGGTTTAAATGAAAAGTGGAAGCCTTACTACAGTTAATTTTGCTTTTTTTAATCTAGAATTTAATAAGGTATTTATTTATGAAATGGAAGATTGTACATGGTTGTAAAACAAAATAAAATATAAGGGAAAAAAAAAAGAGACTTTTGTTAGGGTGCATGTCACTTCCATTTAGCTGTAAATGTGAATGCAAACAAAACTAGCAAAAGCTGTGACAACTGCAGCTGGCAAAAGTTTTTTTGCAGTTTAACAATGCTCACTTTTTTTTTTTATTGAAAGGCCCAATAGGCAACTTCTAAATTCCAATCATTACTAATTTAATTTTTTTTTTTTAAGGTGGCTGTAAAGTATACTCAAATTGTATATTTTTTCTGCTAACACATTTTCATAGCACTTTCCAAAACTCAAAACGAAGGACCTGACTTATTTTATTTGAATCATTAATCGCAGATCATTTACTGTTCTAACTTTGTGAAGGGCTTACCCGCTATACGGTGAGAAAAAACAAATTATAGTGTTGCTTTTTTGTAAAATTTGATAATTTTTTTAAACATTTGGAAATCTACCAAGGACAAGCATGCAACTAGACAATATCTATTAACCATAACAGTACAAGATTTAGGTACTGGTATAATTCACTAAAAAAAAAAAGAGATTGACATGAGCTGTATTTTGCCACCAGTGAATGATTGGGGTCACACAACAACAAGAGCACAACTTTCATTGGACAATCAATAGACTTTAGTATTATTTTTTTAACATCAATATTTGAGATGGTTTAAAGGCAAATTTAAACCTTAAAAAAAGATATTTAACCTTTTCCCATTGCCTAACTGATATAAAAGTGTGTTTAAAACTGAAATTAATTTAATTAAATGTTTTTAAATGCTTTTCAGTTGCTACAAAAAATAATGTGTGCCAGTCCTAGTGCCTATTAAGAACTAATTTTCTGCAATGCTTTTAGATTTAAAAAAAAGGTTAATCAGCAGTTAAAAGGAGGATATTTAAGAGCTGGTTAGGCTAACTGAAATGTTAGGAAATATGAAATCAGTGTTGGCATGCACGTACGTAAGCTTATTAGAAAAAATGAGAAAATGGTGAATTGAATAGCATACAGGGACAAAAGTCTATGATTTTTAAAAGTTGTTTACACAATAAGTCATAAATTATGTTCAGTTAACATTTGTAGTTTTACTTTCTACCTTCATGCAAAAGTTGTAAGAGAATCCACAAATCAGCCTTCCAGTGAACTGGCCCAAATCTCATTAAGATACTAGATACAACTACAACTACAAGCAATGAAAAGCTACATTATTAGGCCACAACACTATGTTTATACACATAGAAATAATTACAATGCCAAGTAAGAGTTGTATCTTGTTTTAGACGACCCAAACTCTTACTACAGAGATTCTCTGGCTTGTCTAAATCAATATACAACAATATCAATTTCTCAGTGACAAAACTAGTAGAAATTTTGTTCAAAATTTTGAATGGTTTGAAACTACTTCTGAGGCAGAATGTGTATTATAATCAATCCATAGCTGACCTTGAACCCGCAATTCTTAACATTTCCAAAAATAACAAAAAGTATTAAATTAAATTGTGTACATTTTAAAAATAAATGGTTCCATTTTGTTGCAAAATTATTAGTATTGTCACTTTTTAAAAATAGATTATCAGACAACAATATTCCATAGCTTTCTGAATACATTTTCTCAGAAGCTTAAATTCAAACGGGTCGTTCACCGACCATAGTTACAATTCAAGCTTAAAAGAGAGCTAAGAGAATAGTGTCCTCATTTTACTTTACATTGAGTGTACTTACAGTTACGCCAGGAGTTTTGATGTTAGTGCCAGCCTGCCGAATCACACTCATGTTGGGTCTTTTTGCTAATGGTGCTGAAAGTTTGAAAATACATGCATTATTGACAATGGGCTCTTTATGAAAGTAACATTCGTTTTTAATTGTTAAATCTTTTATGATGAGGGGTAGTTTTTAATTGTTACATGTGAAGTTCTGATGGTGAGTTTAGTAATGAAAAAAAAAATGTATGGTTAATACAAACAAAATTTAAATCTCTTGTTGTAGCCGTATATTTTTCATAGTTAACATTATACTTCAGCTCATAATTATTTTCCACCTGAATCCACACCATTGGTCTGTTCATAGCCTCTCTTTTTCATTATGGAAGGATGCCCTGAGCCAACTTTGACATTTTCAGCTGGTCTTTCTAAAAGCAGATAAAAATTTTCTTTAAAATATTTTATACAGAGTAAACAAGACTGATATAAAATATTGAAACTGTTTTCGGGCATTAAATATTTGTAAAATTATTTTTTATTATATTACTAATATGGTATTATTAATTGTAATAATTAGCATAAAGTTGCCATTATACATCCCATTTCTGTGGGCATTTTGTAGTGCCAATCTACCCTATGAGGTTTATGAGTCTCTCAGACATTTTGGGGGTAGAAGTTAGTTCTTCTTCTTCTTCTATATCTTAAGGGCCCACGATCAATTTATTGATCATTTTGGGTCCTATGCATGTAGATGGGATTTGCAATGTTTCTGTTACTGGTGGTGATGAGGAAATATGCACTAGGGGTTTGAAGGCTTGAGGCAATAGACACAAATGTGTCTAGTGTTGTCGCCTCAACCATTCCTTTGGAAAGATGGTTCCAGTCCCTGATTGTCTTGGGCAGGAATGAGCAGCTCCTATGCTGGCTTCTTGCTGGGATGAGCCTGAATTGCTTGTCATGGCCTCGTCGCTGTCTATTTGGGAGAGGGACGAGTTTCTGTTTAATACTGGAACAGTGGACCAGCCCATTATTTATCTTGTACATCATGGAGAGCCTGGATTGTCGTCGTCATTTCTCCAATGGTGACCAGCCTAGTGTTTCTAGCATGCTGCCAACACTAGAGGTATTCCTGTAGCGGTTTAGGACAAAACGTGCTGCTCGTCGCTGGACCGCCTCCAACCTGTCAATGCTCTTCTGGGTAAATGGGTCCCAGACTGAAGATGCATAATCTAAAATCGGACGGATAAAGGCTTTATATGCTCTTTCTTTCACACAGGAGTTGCCAATCTTTAGATTTCGCCTTAAGAACCCCAAGGCTTGGTTTGCTTGGTTACATACATTGTTAATATGCTCGTCCCAGCGGACCTCTCTTTGAATGGTAACACCCAGGTACTTTACGGAGGAAACTTGCTCAAGAATATGGCCGTGCAGTTTGTATTGGTAGTGTAGAGGAGTACAACTTCTAGAGATTGATAGTGTCTGGCACTTGGCAGGGTGAAATTCCATGTCCCAGCTCATCTCCCACTCAGCTAACAGATTGAGATCCTGTTGTAGCTGGACCTGGTCAGATCTGTTCCCTTAGCATTGAGCTAGTCTTAAGTGGCTCAAAGCTTTTGATATTTTTATACAGCCCCACCCCCTTTCCAATGGAAAATGAAAGTTTTCTGTGATCCCAGCCCCTGATAGATGGATCACTTGCATATGCATGACATACTTAATAATTAATAGATGTCACATACAAAAATTTCTCTTTCAATAATGATTTTTTTTTTAATTTTAGGGTCATATTTGAAGATTGGTTAGAATATTTAACAGATAATTTTCAATTTTGACATTGAAGAAAATCATTGTAGTAACCACAATTTGTTGGGTGCATTTCTAAATTAAACTGGCCAGATGCAGTGTGGCATTGGAAACAGCAATTTAGCTGTAAGTGTGAGTCACTGCAACAAAGAGTCAATTTTTTGGCATATATCTTTGTTTTATCTGTGATGAAGAGATTTATCATCTACTTGCCTTTAACTGTGTTGCTGCGGTCTCCCCCACCACAATTAGGACCACGTGATAATAGAGACGGCTTTTCCTGTTTGGTGTCTATGCCAAGTCTGGCCACCACAGGATCCAGTGTTGTGGGAGTTCGAGACTTGACTGCAGACTGGTATGAATTTCCTCGATCGGATAGACGAAGCTGACCTAAAATAAGACAAATTTAATACCGTTTTTAGATACTATTTAATCAAAAAGGTGATAATAGCACATACCAAAAAATTAATTTCATATCAAGATGATGAAAAACTCACATTCTTGTTTGATTATTGCAGTGTTTATGGGTGTGAATGGGCAACGTGCTGCATGTCTAGGCCGTAGAATATCTCTGCATAGCCGCCTAGATATACGGGTAAGCTCAGTGGTAACAAGGCAGAAAGCGGCTCGTGTTTTCATCACTGGTCGTGGACTACCAGGTTGTATTGCCAGACCATGTGCTGTGGCAAGGTGCCTTGCAAGGTGAGCTTTCAGTTTAAACTCCTGCAGATCCAATGAGAAAATAAGGATTTTAGAAAAGAAATTGTAAAAATATAGAAATCCCTATAAAATATGTTTGTTCATGTGCAGTGCATTTAAGTAGGCTTTCTGGGGTAACTACTTCACGAGGCATAACCTTTCATCTTGATATCTATTTGCCAAACAAACTTATGTCCCAGCATTCATTTTTCAGAATAATAACCCTTTTCAGATGGAGTCTTTTTGGACTGTCTGTGCCCGAAAGACAGAGCCCTTTTCAAAAGCCCTCCACTTTACATAAAAATTATAAAAAATAAACTAATTACTTTACAAATATAAAACTATATATATTCCTGTAGGGAATTGAAAAACTAAAACAATATTTAGGACTCAAACAAAAATCTCAACATTAATGCCAATGAGATATCCTAATTTTCATAATTTATACATGTAATATTTTTTTTTAGAATAAACTTGTCTTACTTGCAGAATTTTAAAAAATTTTATGATTATTAAAGCCTAAAGAAGTACTAACCCATATTTGAATGAGATTAATATGAAAAACTTCATAAAAAATCCCCCCCCCCCCCCATGACAGCTTATGCCTTTTGACATATTTCAAGGTCACATATTTTTATAACAATGATAAGGGTCACTGGGCACCAAAAAAAGAATTTAATATAAAAATGACGACACCATAAATATTCAATGGAAGCTGCCATTAAAATGGCGAGATGAGCAAGAAATGCAAGAAGCCATCTGATTAGCTGGTACGATGACCAGCCAGCCTATCTGAGGCTTTTGCCATAACACTCTAAGCAAATAGATCAGCCCAGCCACCTCAAGAGGGTTAATCAATACAATTTTTAAAAAATGTAAATAGATACTTTCTACAAATTCATAAAGCTTTCCATTAGTAAAAAAAAAATTAGAATGCTCTGTGAGTGTTAACAACTCACCTTGCCACAACCACTAATAGTACATTTCTGCATACGGATAGAATTCATCTGGGCCACACGCTCTGAAAAAAAATTAATGTATTTGCTATAACAATTATTGACAACAAATATTCAATTCAGCGCTATATGACCACTTCTATTAACAACATAAGCTCCATATCACACTAATTAAACAAACTGGGGATTGTTTTAGAAAGTAACAATAATTTTAATAAACCTAACCTTGTCTGGCATTTGGTGCTGGCCTTTCTCCATCTGAAATTTGCAATCATTGCAGAGTGTTAAAATGTCTTTTTGCCTATTTCTCTTAGTTTAAATTAAAAAAGGGGTGGCTAACCCGCTGCCGGCATGTGCCTAATTTATCACACATTAAGTTTTTCGTCCTCCACTCAACTGACAAAGAAATCAATTTTTAAAAAGAGAGGAAAAAGATCAAATGATATCTCATCAGTTTAGTTTGATTCTGTTTTCTATTTAGCATTTTATTATATGCATTAAGAATAGAAAAAAATTTCTTCGTAGGCTTTAGTGGGTGTTTTTTAAGATATTTTAATATAAGGTGTAATCACTTGCGGCCCGCTAATAGTTTCTCATTATCTAAGTGGCCAGCTAAACCTTATGAGTTGGACACCCCTGTATTGCAAGATAAATCCTGGTTCTTTTTTTTAAATAATAAGAAGAGAGTTAAGGCTGTGATAAAGCTAAAATGGATTAAGAGCATGGATGTTAAAATCCGATTATTATTTTTTTTACAAACCGGTTTTCAGTTTTAAAACCGGTTTAAACAAATCATTAAACTGTCTGCACGGCATGTAATATTTTGACATACTTTTATAGGTTGTAAGTTAAGTTAGTGGAAATATAATTTTAGAGATTACATAGCCACTGTCTGGCCAAAACAATTTGATATCACAGTTTGATTAACATGACAAGTCATTTGTGTAAATAATTTTGATCGCAATAAAAAATTTATTTTTTATACTTAACAAGAGGCCTAGCTTGAACTGAGCCACAAGAATTTTATGTAAAATAAATGCTGTAATTATTAATATGAGTGAATATGATTTACTGTGATAATGATATCTGTACTTACGCCAACTTGTTAACTGACAGTAGACTACACATGCTCTAAAAAAAAAGCCATCTCGTGTTTCATGTAAAAAGCAGTATCTATTTTTTGAAGTGACCCACCTCAAATTCGGCTAACCCCGTTAATGAGACATTCAATGCCAGTAAATATCACATACATCTACTGTTTATATTGTGTTTTGTTGTTTTTTTTATATTTTATCATGATAAAAAAATTCTGTAATCGCTTTGTGAAAATCAACCAGTTTTCATTTAACATGTCCACTTTCACCTTTCTCTTTTCGTATTATTTTCTGTGCATTTTAGATCTACTCTTTCTGATAACAGAAATGAAACTAGAAAAACTCCATTAAAACAGTATGCCATTAGCCAAGTGCTCTTACCGAGTCTTGTGGGCATTTTGAGTCCACCGTACTTCTTCCAGTAACTCCAACAATTGCTACACAATCGACACTGCATGTGAATAGGACCCCATGAGTACCACTGTGATGAGTGAGCAGCTGTTGAGGGAAAGTATACAAAATGTGATGCTCAAAACCAAAATTGTCAATTTTAGTTAGCTCACCTCTGTGGTTTTTTTAGGTCTAGTCAGTGTCATTTTGTCACATCCTGTTAAAACATATTCTGCTTTTATATCTCTTCTTACTCCAGCACGGTCCTTTTAGCCATAATATATTACATTTTTTTGTATTAATTTTTTTTTTTGCAACATGCTCATCTTCAAATAAGGACATTAAAAATATTATTAGCATTGAATGGATTGAGTTAAAACAGCAATTTTATGTACAAACATACAAGAAAATCTAAAAAAATAAGGGATAACTTAAGGCGTAAAACTTGATGAGCAAATGGGTATAGTATTTGTTAACATGTGGCTACTTACTGTAGCAGCTCTCGCATGCCCTCCCTGAGACCGGGCCGTCAGTACCATTCATTTTAGTGGTAATGGCCGCTGGGTTAGGTTTGTTGCTGATGGAAATGATGGAAAATGTTGCTATAATAAATACATGCCAATCTCCCATCAAAACAGTGTGCAAAAATAATCAGTCCTGCACACACAAAAATAAAAGCCAAAATAATTCTCAAATTATTTTACTAGCAGTTTCAATAAGTTATGTTTTTGCATACAAATGTAGTACTCTTATTCTACTACTGGCTTGTATTTTTGTTAATGTAGAGAATGAACACTCACAGACTAACTGCATTGCTGCGAGGAAAATTTTAATTCACTAGAAACGTAAAATGTAATTTCAGATCACAAGAGCCTGAAGTCTGCACCACCTTAAGCATACACTTATTTTATCTATCAAATAATAAGTCTTGCCAGAAAACAAAAGGAAAGTACTCACTAGTTAGGAATGTAAACCTGCTTCAGCTTGCTCTCAGCTTCTGATGCTTTGATTCGTTTCTAGAACACCAGTAGTACAACATTACTTTTCAAAGAACAAGGATGTCTCACAAAAAATATCATATGCTTAAAAATGCCAGATTCCAAAAGTCAAATAACAGAATGGCCCTTCAAGGTGTTAGGAGATGAGACTGCTAACAACTTAATTAGCTTATTTTTTATTTAAACTTTCCCTTCCATCCACCTGTCAACATATTTTTAGAATAGGAAATTCAAAACACTTTAATCTGTATAAATTATTGCTTACTTCCTGTTATAATAGTGGACACAACCCAATATGTCAATTAAAAAATGGTCAATGAAAGCTTAACCATTTTATAATTTTTTTTTATACCAAGTTCAGTGATATGTCACAGAGAAATTCCAACTATTTTATATTAAAGAAAAGCTACCCCGTGTCCAGATTTTTAGAATCTGAAATTTACAACCTTCCATTATGCATGTGTCAAATATTATATTACAAACATTAACTTCTTTACTTTTGGCTCAAGTTGGAATTTTAGAAATTAGTAATGTAAATTTGATATATTTTTCTCATAAAAATAAAGCCCAGAGCCTTTTAACTAATAAAAAGTGAGCACTGGATAAACAAAAAAAATCTACATTGATATCAAATATAAGGTATTGGATAACCCCTTAATATCATAATGAAAACGGAAGGATATGGAACCATTTTCAACAAGATGGGGGCAGTCTCTGCAATTCTAGATCCGGCCATAGGAACTCATCAATGAAACTGAACATTAATGGGCCATACATTTTGTGGTCAATTTTTTCCCTATTCTGATTCAAAATAAAACAATGAGTAAAATGTACAAGTCTTACCTGTTGCACATATCTGTCTGTGGTTTTCCACATGTAATAGTATTCAACTATACTTTTTAAGGATTTCCAAGGTAACTAAGGAAAAAGAAAGTGTGTGATGAATTCCTTGATGTTATGTAGCATTTCAATTGATTGGCAATAAGCAAGCAAGCTTATATAATAATAATTTTGGAATAATCTTCGTATTTGAAACCACAATTTAATAATGTTATGTGTGATGTTGGCACCCAATGCATGATCTTGGCACCCAATGATGTATGATGTTAAGAAGCAGATAAAGCACACTTACAAAATCTTGCCTGATGTCATTGAAATCTTTGCCATACTTTTCAATAGCATCTTCAAATAAATTGGCTTCAGAAGCTGACCACTCTTCCATCTCATCTCGACAAAGTACAGGCCCGCCAGATGGCACTAAGCTTTTGATTGCTTTAGCAATGTCATAGTTATGTCGGTGGAGGGTATCCATTGCATGGAACTGTTATACAGGAATTAAGAATTATACTTAGAAATAACACCATTATTATTTTTGCTTTTTAAATTTAAGAAAAATGCAGCCATTTAAAAACACAACCAAATTTATTTTTATAAAAATTTAAATAGAAGAGTGTTTTATAAGATTATTACCAGGAAAGAATTCTGATGTTAACGCTTAGAACCAGACAAGATCCCAGTATATAAATGCTTAGAATCAGACAAGATCCCAGTTTATGTCACAGAAAACAGGCATAGCCGATTATGCTCAATGCTTCACCTTTTGAAATAACGCCTCCCGTTACTTATGTATATACAGAGGCTTCTATTAGGAAATAGTAAATCACTATGGGTTGGTTGTAGTGTGACCATATTTGGTGATGCAATTCCCTTTTCATAATGAATGTACTTATTTAAAAAGAGTTAATCAAATCTAATTAAGCACAAGCAGAGATGGCCATCTTCTGTAGTCAGAAAATATTTTGAAATCCAGCTTATACTTACAATTGTAATATCTCTAGAAGCAGCGGCAGCACTCATATGAAGGCTTGGTTGCCGAACTGTACTCGTACAGTCCAGTGCACGAGCAAAGGTACCAACTGATCTAGAAACAGATGAAATGACAATGCCATTGAGAAATATCTTTTATCTTTTTACTACACAGGCAAGTATAGAGAAAAAAGAAAAAATACTTAAGTCAATTGTTATAGCCTGTGCTTCCCAATTTTTTTTACTTCAACGTAGCGTTGTGTCAACCAGTCCTCCCACATTTTTTAGTTTTGATATTAACATCACCAACCGCACTCCTACCTTGATTGGGAAAAGGTTGTTTATGTCCTATTTGTTCTAAAGAATGATATCAGGTGATGCAATTTCTAAAATTTCTTCCCTGGAAGGAATATCTCCCTCCCTATAGGTAGGCCAACAGCTTTCCCAGCCGGGAGAGATTTTTTATATTTTTGCTAGACAAATACGAGATGTAATATACTTAAAGATTATACTCTTCATAAGTGTGTATATTAATATTTGTTCCTTTCAAGGATTATCCTTGTTCACTTGCTGTGCTGTAAGTTAATGTAGTTTTTATTTCTGTCCATTTGATTAATTAAATTGAATAATGTTAGTATCACTATCTTTTGAATTCTGCTTTTCAGTCCTTTGTTACGTTTTATTCAACAAACGAGTTATATCTTAAAGCAGGATTAAAGTTACATAAACCATATAACGATACGTAGCACAATGTAGAAATTATTTCAAGGTTAGTTATTGATAACTTACCTGGCAATGATCTGGAACTGATCAATTTCTTTATCTGTAAGACCATGAGATGGATCCCATATGAGCTCTTCTAATTCTTCTGATTTGCGGAGATCCTCATCCCCTGAAGAATTTAGAGCAGCATTGAAAATGATGGACATAAATATAAACTTCAGCTTATCAATGCATTCAGTACAGAGACTTTTTAAAATTTATTTACATGCAATTATCAAATTAATTTTTTTTAAATATACATGCAGTTAATAATACTATAAAATGGTATTAATATTGAGTGCAAACATAAGGTGATACTTTACTCTTCTAAAGAGCTAAAAATGCTATTAACATTTACCTCTACAGCCCTATTAGACCATCTTTATTGCAGGGAAATAAACTTTGTTAAAAGGCTTCTCTGCTAGTTTTTACATGGACTAAAATAAAAGCCCCCATAGACACCACATAAATTAGGGGTTCTTAACACAGGTGTCCGCACCCTCTGGGATATAAGAGTTAGGGAAGACCCGGCAAATCAGGTTTATTTGTCATATTTATTATAATTTTTTTAATCGTGGAATTGCAGGAAATATGTTCTAAAATCGAGACAGGGGTGCCGGAAGTGTTTAGATATCAAGTGGGGGTGTGGCACTGAAAAAAAGCTAAGAACCTCTGACATAAATCAATGGTGTGTAAAAGCTACACTGTGTCAATTACATTAAATTATTATGATGGATACATTTCATCGAGCTTTTTTAAAATAATATCAAAGATTTCATAGTTCCCATCTGCAACTTGAGTCAATTTCCAGCAAAATTATTTTTTTTAATAACCTAAAAAAAGAAAAGTGGTAGTCACCTGGAGCTACTTACATAAAGTCTTTTACATAGCAAATTTTAACTTGACATTGTATTTCTGCATAAGATCGCATGTTTCTTGCTATTCCATGTTTTTATGATGAAAGAATAAGCTATAGTTGAATGTCCTTACCATCTATGCCAGTGTAGACTTTAGGAATTGTTTCTGCCTGATATTTGGAACCAACACGAATCTCCCCTTTATCAGCTAACAATGTTTTTTGTTGGGGATCGTAGACTAATGAGTAAAAAAATGTATCCTAAACAAAAGAAGAGAAAAAAAATATGTCACCAAATTTCCTTAAGATTGTCAATCAATGAATTAAGGCTCCATTAAAAGAGTTGAACTCAATGTAACATTGTCTACCAAATGAGAAATAAAAACAAGCTACAGGTAGTGTGAAAACTGATGTTGAATTTTCATATCACGTTTTTTATGCCTTTCTGAGGATTTGAAGGTGTAACATAATTGACTATGACAACAATATTAAGAATTTCTTCTTTCAATTAACAAGATTTCCACAATACAGTTAAAACTTCAAATGATAGAAAACAGTACTAAAAGAAATCAATCAATCAGAAGTTCCATGTAAGTCCAATAAGACTTGCCTCTTTATTGAGGTAAGACAGGAGTGACTCTGTTTCATTGAGCAGCGTAACACAACATTTCCCTCGTATGTGGGTGGCTGGCAAGGTTTCCACCTGCCTTGATAAAAACAACTCTCGATGTTTGAGCTGATGCCTCATCTTTTCCGGTATTTCCTCCATGCCCCGTCCACCATGGTTGTTATTGTTGTTGTTGCCATTTGTTGCGGAGTCTGTACCATTTTCCTCCATGGCCACAACTTTACCCGTACTGTCTTTACTTTCTAGGTCCTCTCGAGGCGGAGAACCTTCATCTATTTCTACAGATAATAAAATAACAAGAAATTCAAATAATGTCCATTTATAATGCAATGGGGTGTGTGTGTGTGTGGGTTTGTGTGAAATGGTTATAAGGTATTTATTTCATCAATCAGTATGCTAGGGGATTTACTATGAAATGAGTTACCTATGGAACGAAACATAAAATGAAAGGGCAGACATTCTGATGCACTTTCTCATCTAAGATATGATGAATTTCCTTTAAAACACACTCTCAATGTTTAAGCGTGACAATCCATTTTTATTGACCAGTTGTCAGTTAAAATTTTTGCAATGTCAGGTAACCTTTATTTTTTCATGCCAATAGATCACTTTATACGTCAGAATTGCAATATTTTATTTTGGAAACTTTCAAGTGTATCCTATATGAGATTTTCTATAGGAGCTTTTTCTTGCTGACCTTTAATTTTCGAATACTAACAAGGTAATGAGTCAGACTTCTGAACTCTTTGGTTGTAGAAAAAGTGCTAAGTGTTATTTTATAAATCACTACAAACATTGACAGTTCTGACTGTACTTAAAGTAAAAGGAAACACACAAAAACCTTGTAAAATAAAAAGGAGTCAATTCCAGGTGTCATTTTGATTTATTGAATTGTAGTTGAATTTTTAATTCTCTATATTCTACAACTTTGTCAATTATTATTTAGGATATTTCATTTCAATTACAATGGATTAATATTGTAAGGGATTGTCTTTAAGCTAAAAATTTATTAATTTAGTGACAGAAGAATATGTTTTAAAAAAAAAATTTTTTTTAAAAACATCAGGAGGACATTCTTCCCCCAAAATAAACATGCATATTAATAATAGTATACCGGTAGTTGGTATAATGCAAAAGTATATCTATCTACATGACAAACATGCACAGCTTTCATAGACTTAAAGAATAAAAAGGAGACTGGTTTTATTATGGTTTTTTTTCAAGACTCTTACTTGAAGCATATTAATTGGGATTAAAATGGAAAAGCCACCATATCATTTTGCTGTATCATGGCAATGAGTTTGTAAGTTTTAACTAAAGTAATAGGGCGGATAGAATTTATATGGAAAATAAATTAATAACAAAATTTGGTATGTTAACTCCATACTGTATTAACCAAATTTTCTATTTTTCATAGCTGCAATGTCTTTTTTCTGTTTGGTTTTTAAATTTTACTTCCACCCACATCCTTCCCGTTCTTCTGAACTTCTTATTTGTCAGGGGCCTTGCGAACACTCTTATTCTTGTCTCTCATTTTTAGGTAGGATACATGTAAATGTATATATTATGTTAATTTAATTTATACTTATTTGCAACGTTTTTATTGTACTGATAAGGCTTTTGATTTGCCGAAACGTTTACATTTGTATTCTGTATGATTATTATAGCTGAACCTATACTGTTTAATTTACACAAATTGTTTGGGTCTTATTAATCTACTTGAAAGCTTTATGGCAGGCCAACATTCTTATAATTACTTTGAAATAATTAGAGACAAATAACCTTTTTCAAAATAATACCAAACATTGCAGTATTTAACTGCTACCTTAATCACATTAAGGACAACAACATATCTTTAAACGAAGCCAATAACAATCTGTATGAAAATCCCTAGGTAATTATAGTACTTCTAAACATCACAGCAAACCTACCACACATCATAGCATTTTAGGTGACATGCCAACATGTCTTATTAAAATTTAGGGTCATATAATTTAGAGCAGAATTGGATTACGGATTATCAGTGTGTTCATTGTTATGTTCCTTGTAAGTTACAATAAGTTTTAAAGTGCATGTTTACATTATAATTATGAATCATTGCAGCTGTCATTTGTAAAGAAATAGTTCTCCTCTATTTGAGGTGGGGGTTAGACTTTCTTCATATTTTGACAAACTGGGTCCAAAAGATGTAAGGAGTAACTTAGATCAAAATGATACTGGTGAAAAGTCCCACACATAAAAATATTTATGTACATCAACAAAACTAAGTTCAAATTCAAGATATTTTAGACGGGGGGAAGTCATTTTACATTTTAGACATACTTATATAAATCTAAATTGGTATCTGAATTTAGAATTAAAAGTATCTATAGCATCTTTATCAGTCGAGTTGGCTAAATAAGATTCCTCTTGCAGTCCTCTGGGATACAACATTGCAACCAAGTGTTTATGTTTAATTATATATTGTTTTTACCACTTGTTTCGTTGCGCCCTTTTATTTCAGATTTTTCCATACAACGTTTCGCTTATTTCCTAAATAAGATTCAATGGGATTGGCGGCAGAGGCAAAATATCAAGATAACTGAAGATCAGAATTGGTAAGAGACTTTAATATTTCTTATTCCTTTGCTTTTAACATTTTTCTATTTTGATTGAAGTTTTAGAAGTAACTTTTGGTTGAGAAATCTAATTATGTTAAGAAATCTTAAGTCAGATTTTGGCACATTGTTAGAGACATCAGGTGAAATGAGGCAGGAATCAAAACATTAACACAACTACCTATTTGAATAAGGGATCCTCAAACTACCTCCACCCTACAAACACCAAAGTGGCATTGCAGAATAATAAAACATTTTATAAAAGAAAACATGTGCGTAAGCAGTAAAACAGTGACTTTTTTTTTTACAATAGATATAAGCAATACCATTTTAAATGTAATTTCTACAAATGAGAAGAAAAAAAAGCCGATGCCATCAAGCGGAACAAAATCATAATCTAAGCAAAATATATATAAAAATAATCTAAGCATGAGCCATGAACCAAAAGCAAGACTAAGCTACTCTAACCGCACCATTAGAAAGAGAAAAAGAAGCTTGGTGAAAAAGAAATTAAATCAAGAAAAGACAACACACCTTTCCGTTCTTCTGTCTCATCCTGCACTACGTCTGTTGAATCAAAGAAATGTTCATTAGCCATTGTGACTGGAGCACAATATCTTTTACACAATCATGCTTGGCAAGTATTTATCACATCATTACAAGACATGCTGTCTGACTATGCAGTCCCATATTTACACAGACAAGTAGACATTCAGTTGTCTCCATGGCCATGCTAGTTTTAACCATGTACACATCTACTGTCAATGAGAAATGTTAGGCTATTGAGCCATAAACTCCACAGACATGCTGACATGGATTGTGTGATGATCAACCAATTTGCAGACTTTTGGCACAGACATGCTCAGTAGTGATCAGTAATTTTGGAAAAACCTGCTATGAGACAACAATCTAAACACATACTTTATAAAGAAATATATAACTTGCCATTTCAGAGCATAAATGACAATGCAAAACAACAGCAAATCAAGGGAGAATTATCACTCATTTAAGAGTGGGTAGGCACAAGTTTATCTTATTATTCATGTAAAAACATTTTGATCGCATTGTCTATATCTTCCCAAACTAAGGAATATATAAACCTTAATATAAGTGAATATTCGACAAAGGAGGGCAGAAGACACAATAAAGTTACAGAAAGTATACCTTGTACCTTGTGCAGAAAAGTCATTTTACGTTTAGTAGAAATGGGAAATATATTTGAAGAAGATTCTATACAAAAATATTTGGTCTCGGTAGAAATGTATATTTCACTCCATCTATACAGCCCAAAATTTGTTTTTTTTTATCAATTAGTATTCTTGTTTGAATTCATCTTGAAGTCAAATGGGATTTATTAAAAGATTGTAATGAATGCATATGAATATGAGAATCTTAAATGTTCAGAAAAACGGATTTGATTAACTACAGAGAAACCATTTGAAACGGGGGGGGGGGTTATTCACTACATTGATCTGACACCCACAGACAACACTCAGACACACCTCTTTCTTCTTCTGTCTCCTCTTCCAGTGTGTCTGTGAAGTCAAATAAAATGCCTGGGTTATATAAAAGGTGTACTGAAAAAACCAATAATTGTAATGAATGCATATGAATATGAGAATCTTAAATGTTCAGAAAAACGGATTTGATTAACTACAGAGAAACCATTTGAAACGGGGGGGGGGGGTTATTCACTACATTGATCTGACACCCACAGACAACACTCAGACACACCTCTTTCTTCTTCTGTCTCCTCTTCCAGTGTGTCTGTGAAGTCAAATAAAATGCCTGGGTTAGATAAAACGTGTACTGACAAAACCAATATGTTAGTCAAAATGTTGGGCTTTGCCTTTGCAAAGACAGAAATGTCCAGGAGTTCGGCATATCTTCTGAATTTCTGACATGTCAGAAATTGATTATTGGATGTAAGGCTAACAGTACAAATTTTTTTAGTTAACTAATTAAAAATGTATAGATATTTAATGAATATGGACCCATAGAATAAAATCTTAAAAGGGTGCTTGTCAGTTTGAGAGTCAGTTATACTCTTTTTTTTTAATTCCATAAATTTATTCCTGTGATGCATGTTTAGCTTGCGAAGTGGCTATTTGTACCCGGGTACCAGAAGTGAGAGGTTGGGAAACCCTAAAATGGACCCAGACACGCAGCGCCGCCATTCGCACCCGGGTACCATTAAACTCAATGCTATTCGGATGTCATTTGTGGTAATTTATTTTAGTTAAACTGAAGAAGTAAGTTTACAAACATATAGTCCATTCAATTATCTTTCAATTGATACCTCATTTTGTCTTACAAACCCAACAATAATATTTTAAATAGTTTTTTAATCCCAAACTCTCACTTCTGGTACCCAGGTACGAATAGTCGCAGCCTTTAACTTGATATTAAAACATAAATTTGTTTTTACATGTGTTTTTGTGACTTTTCTTTTCTATGAGCAAGTAATACGCTTGACTATATAATTTTAAAAAGTCGTTTTTAGATACAAATGCAGCAAAGTTATAAATAAATAAATAGTATATATATGTATATATATATATACACACACACATATAGCTGTTTCTAGTGAAGTACCAGTAAAATAATTTCATACTTAAATGGAATTTTTTTTTAACTTCTTGTGGTTAAAATGTTACTATGTATAGAATATTTCTTGAAGAAAATACAGCAGAAAGAAGCTGTAACCACTCCAAAACAACTAGTGCAGTTAAATGTTTAATTTTGTTCCTGGTGATATCAGTTAAGTATTTTTAGTTAAGAAGGTTAAGGCTGTCTGTGGAAAGTGAGTTGGCTCATGTGTACTATAATAATCACTGTCATAGAAAGTGTGTATGTTTGTGAAGTAGCTCAGTCTGAATACTTTAAAGGACAGCACAAGTACAGAGCTTTAAGTTGTTAAAATAAATTAGATTGGATTTGAAAATCATAAAATAGAAAGAACTTTATAAATACAATAGACACTGGTTTTTTTTAGAGCTAAATAGTTATAAATACAACAGAAAATGGGTTGTTTAGCGCTTAATAATTATGACACTTTAATAAAGATACTTTCATATTCCAATAGTTCCTAAAAAAAAAATATGTACAACTTTCACCTTGCATCGGTTTTTTTTGTTTTAAAAAAGTTTGAGGATCACTGTCAAGTGGTTCTTTCTTGACATGGTGTCATAGTATTGATACATTATAGGACATTGAGATTTTCGCAAAGGCTAGATGCAAATTTTTAGGGGAAAATGAATGCAAGCAAAAACAAAAATTAATGTCGAGTTAGGAAAATCTAAGGGAGTGAATCACTGTTGATACAAGAGAATTTAACTTTGACATGGTAGCATACCTTATTATCAGAAAGGTTTTGAGGTAACTAAAGCCAGTATGCTAGTAATGTTTTTCACGTGTAAACAACCTGCAGAAGTATCAAAACAAGAGGTTCGGTATGGGGCAAGCCCCTACCACCCTCCCACCCTTAAAGAAAAAAAAAGTATCCCAAAATGTCGTTGCGCCAGGTATCTACAACTTTAATTGTAGGACAGAATTCAATAATTGTCCGACAGAAAACGACCGCTGACGCTCCACGTCAGTGACAGTTTTTTTCAAGTCAAAAACCCTAAAATGGATTAGGACAGATAACTCACGCTGCCTTAAAAATCCCACCAGAAATCCATGAGGTGTCAAACTGGTGGCTTATCTAACAATCCCCCAAATATAACTTGCATGCATGTATACGCCATTAGTATTGTGTAATTACTACTCAAAGCAGTTGATAACGGGGGCGCATCAACCCAACAACCACTATTGACAGTGGTTCTCAAACCTTTCAGTGTCAAGCCGTATTCAAGGGTGGAATTAACATCTCAAGCATTTTGTTTTAAAACATCGATTAAGTTAATTATCAAACATTAAGAAAAGGACCACTATCCTTAAATAGCTCATTGATATTAGTCATTCATTTCAGCCCTTGTCCAAAATGCTTTTATAGCGAAATCGTTATGGAACCCTACAGTTGGCAGAGCTGAGCATACAAGACACACTCTATACATTTCAACAGCACGCCACACAAAAGGTAGTTTTCACACATCAAACTAGCTAGTGCAAGACGAGTTCTTTGACATTGGTAAATATGGTTGGGCAGGCGGAACGGACACCCCAACGTAACGTACCGGTACCTCGGGCAAGGTGGGCAAGCAGCTTTGTCTCCTCTACACAATCCCTCAATGCCAAATGTCAACAACACAAAAAAAAGTTTTTGACCACAGGCCCCTGTCATATTCTGCGCCCCCCCCCCCCCCCCCCCCNCCCCCCCCCCATCACAATAAATGTTTCCCGTGGTTGGGTATCATGTTTCCGACGGCATCTTACCTTGCCGCTCACCAAAGAGCGAAACCTTTCTACACTATGCTACTGACGAAAGTTACGGGATGTCGAGGGACGTACCCAAACGATCAGATCATTAAACAATACCTATCAATGCTGAAATTTGGAATTATACAAAGAACCCCAGCCAGCAATGTCAGAAGAACCATTGCAATAATCTGGGATAACTGAAAGAGCTGCGGGCTTACATCTTGGGGGAGGTTGGGGGGGGGTGTTGGTTGTTTTTTCTGGTGGGGAGGAGGGGGGGGGGGCGTCGTTTGTTTATTTCTGAGAAAATGTATGTAAAATATCATAGCTGACATGTTATAACGGATTTAAAGTCCTTGTAAGAGGGTCAACAACGTGCATTAAAAAATATGTTGATTTTATAACTAGGGTTTCCTGTCTTTTGTACGCTAGCAAAGAATCTGTTTAGGCTTAAATGCCACTGCAACGTTGGTCAATGTTACAAGGTACTGCATCAATGAATGAATGGATTGGTCGTTTACCTAGAGTTTTGATGTGCTTCCAAACACTTGGGGTCGGGGGTCCCTGTTTAGTATGGTGTTATTGGGAGTACCGGAAATCTATGAATGAATGCCCACTCTTGTATCAGGACTACAGTATACGATACACGTAGACAACCAGTGTGCTAGCTGGTGTGGCTGCTACTATTAATTTATTGATTCCCCCCCCCCCTTCATACATTTGCACAGCCGGATGAAAATAGTGGGTGGGTTGTAAAGGGGGGGGGGGGGCATTTTTTAATACCCCATTTAAAAAAAGACAACCAGTGTGCTAGCTGGTGTGGCTGCTACTATTAATTTATTTATTCCCCCCCCCCCTTCATACATTTGCACAGACGGATGAAAATAGTGTGTGGGTTGTAAAGAGGGGGGGGGGTCATTTTTTAATACCCCATTTAAAAAAGCAATATGAATATCGTAAGCCACCTTTATGTTTATAGTCAGTTGAAGTATTGTCACAGTGGATAGCAAATGGAGACAAAAGGGAATGTCACTGTCAAGAGAGAGAGAGAGAGAGAGAGAGAGAGAGAGAGAGAGAGGGAGAGAGAGGGAGTTTTACGGTAATGAAATAATTTAAATATACGCTCGTTACTACAATTAAGAGACGTGCGGTATAAGGGACAGTTTACGGTACCCTCCACCCTCACTGGTGTTATCGCTAGGCAATTGCTAACAAACAATGGGAATTTTGACAGGTGGGCTCTGGAGAGGGCTTACGGTACGTTCCGTTTTATATCGCCTCACATAGTGTCAGCAACAACAAAACGGTATCAACACGTCGGCTGAACTGAATGCAGCCTTATACGTAAGACTAATATTGAGAGCTGATCAATACTAGAAATTAATAGATCACGAGGGGGAGTAACCATCAACTTGTGTTGACTGACCTTTGTTGGAAGGGATGGGGTCCTGTTTGGGGGAGGAAGGAAGGAAGGAAGGAGGGATGAAATGGCTCGGGCAGGCACACGAAAATATTTTGACCTCATTTACCATTAAGGGGACTACTTTTTCTCTCTCTGGTGAGGAGAAAGACAGACGGCTGAAGCAGGGGGGAATGCAGACGGCCTGTGCCATGGAAGACGAGAGTGCGGGATAAGTTGGCAGTTGGGAGAGGGAGTGGGGGGGGGGGGGGGGGGGGGGGGGGGCGGATCCGAGCACGACAGAAGGAAAAAGGGAAGCCATTTTAAAAGAAAGGTGGTGGTGGTTGGCTTTAGAGAGCAGGGAAGGCGAGGGTTGGTTGATACATAATGGTTGCCTTATCACTAGTCGGCATGGCTGACGTTGCACACGTCGAACAGTTTTTTTTGTCAACATCCCATATGTAATAAACACATACAAACCACTTAACATAATACACGGCAGTTTGGAACATTGAGACTTTTGAGGACAGGGTGGTGGTCGAAACATTCTTGTACGATGCTCTTAAAGTTGGTATTAAGTAGAAGGGATGGTGCAATACGTCAGAGGGAACTGGACATACTTTGGATAGTCTAATCTGGACAGATGAAAGGAATCATTTAAAAAATGAAGACGACAACTCCAATCTCTGACCCAGCTGGTTTAATCTGGGGATTGAACTTAGTGTTGAGATGGAGGAACACGACCATTAGGATCCTGGAGCATCGTAGACAGTAGTCAAGATTAGGCCTGAAGGCAGATAGAAGCTGACAACCATCCCAGTACCTTCTTTTGTTCAACACCGACCCAGGCCCCATACAAAACAAGAGACTGTGTGCCACAAAATAGCAATGCATAATCTAAAGCTACACCTGGGTTACAACTGTCCCGATCCAAGTTCATCAGAAACTATAGAAAAATCCACGGATAGTACAATAAACCCTGCAGCATTACTATTTTTATCTTAGACCCACCCCCCACCCCAATTAATAATGTTCTTACTAAGTGATCTCAATCCAACAAAACAAAAAAAACAAAACAAAAAAACCAAAAAAAACGGTCACCAGCAAACAACTTATGTCAGGGATTCTTTACCAGGGGTTCCCCTCCCCCCTTGGGGTACAGGGAGACCCAGAAAAATCAGATTCATCTGCACGAAATGTTAATTTGTCACATTACATTATTGTCAGATTATTGTAGGGGGGGGGGTGCAGGAGATATGCTGTGTAATCCAGTTGGTGTGGGTTGTTGCAAACAATGGTGAAGAACTGGTGACTTTGGTCAACTAATTAATGAATTTCATGTGACAGACAGTATTCCCATTGTTACTATTAATCTTAGGATGGAAGATTCCAAATAAGCATCACCCTCTCATAAGTTGATGGATCTCCACTATGCAGATAGCAGACAGCTTTTAGCAAATACATAGATAAAGGATGTGTAGTTATCTCACAATTTGGCACTGTTGTATAAAGTCATCTATTATTGTTTTAATTAGTCAATCCTAATTGAAGAAGTGGATGCTATATTATAATATTTAACATCAATCAGCACTGCACCACCAAAACCAACAACGAAATGGGCCCATGCCAAGGGTCAAACTTCAAGAGCAAAATAACAATTATAGTTCCAACCATCATAATAAAATAAAGAAACACTTCAATATCCTAAAACTTAAAGCCATTTCCTGCATCGGACAAATTTTAATCACTTCTGTTATCAAAAAGAGATTGATACAAATTAAACCACCATCGGGTGTCCAAACAATTTTCGGCAGTAAAGGGCCACAACCAGAATTATGCCCCAAATAATTCTGCCAGTACGGGATGAAATATTTCTTCCAGAATTTTTTTCTTTACTTTATGTCTGGTGTTTTCCAAAACAACTGTATGCATTGGATGTGTTTGTTTTAGATATGTGCTTTAGTTTTACTAATTTTACATCCTTTTTTAAACTGTAATTGTCATAAGTGGTGTACATGGTGATGGGTTAAGTGGCAACCTTTTAATCAACAAGTGCCAATCCCAGAGACTCCAACACCAGTTCCATTACCTTGGCTACTGAAAATAGCAATCAAGAACTCTGTATTTAGGGGGACAAATACCATATTTATTGGCATATAACACGTACCATTCGCGCCGCTATGCGGTATGTACTATGGGTCATTAACATTATATTGGCGTATAACACGCACACATCATTTGCCCGCTATTTTCAGGGAGAAAAAGTGTGTGTTATACGCCGATAGATACAGTATTTAAGTTTGTTGAGATGGTTATAACTCATACAAAAAACTCACAATGTAAATTCAATTTTAAATTGCTTCCCCTAAACAGCATACAACATGTGTAATATTTAACATATTTAATATTTATCACATGAAAAATTATATTTAATATTTAACATATTAATATTTATAATATAATTTTTTAAATTTGCTTATCCGTAACATCCCTAATATGAAAAATTCAAATACTTCAAACACCTAATCTAGATAATTTGAGCATTAGAAATAATTTCAAAGTTTCCAATATCATCAATACTGTTAATACACTTAGATATATTTATTATTTATTTTAACTCCCTAAATTTTAATTGATTGTAAACAAGATCAGTTCAGCAGTTTTAAAAGAGGCCTAATAGGGACTTCTCCTCCATGGCATTCATGGGTGATGTAAAGCTCAACTTCCTGGCTTTGCACCAAAAGTTATTCTAGTGTCAAAGTTCAAAATATACCCAATTATATTGATTGGAACTGATAAGTGGAAATTTCAATTTTTTTAAATTAAATCTTTAAAAAATGTTAAATTCAAAGTTAATGGCCTGCAACTTGTTCCTGTTTCAATGTCCACTCAACAAGAAGAAAGAAAATGTAAAAAAAAAAAAAATTTTTTTGTTGATATTATTTGACCATTTATCATGTTATCTACTCATACTTTACCTGCTTATCTTAAATAAGGACAGTGATTTCCAAATGAAAATAAATGCTACGGGGCTGATTTTTTTTATATAAATATATCACACCTTCCCCAAACCCCAAAAAGTCATGAAGCAATAAAGGCACTTTTATATTAAGATATATTAAGATTAAACAGTTAAATGCCAGCAATTTGGAAAATGCCATTATTATTTCTTTTAAATTTATCTGGAAAAAAAAACAACTGATCCCACAAAGCAGGGGTAGGGAACCTATGTACAAAATAGACTAGTTTTGGCGAATTAGAAAATATGCTTTAAAAAAAAAATTACAATAGGTAAAACAGTTGCATATAATTTTAACAAAAAATTATGTAAAATCCTTCATTGGTTTTTGCTGAGTGTGGTCTGAAAATGTAGGCTTGATTGGAGAGTTAAATAAATGACTATCTCTGCCTATAAATATACATCAATTTGAGAGGTTTGATCTGAATAAATACCACGGTTGAAAAAGCTTTTTCACACAGCCATGAACGTAGTGAGATTTCTGATATATATATATTTTTATGTTATAAATTCAGTGGTTAAAAGAAACTAATTTTATGTTATAAATTCAGTGGTTGAAAGAAACTAAGTCAAATTACTATGGTGATCATGAAATTGGGATTTTAAATACAAATTTCCTTTGTCACCACTGTGGCCACCAACTGGCATGTTATTCCTGGTCTCATGTAGTTAGCAAGAGTTCTCTTTCAAGCCATCAACCACCTTATGCTCACTATGGCCTGCCGACGACATACGTATTAGTGGTTCATTCACCACGTGTGTAGATTGATGATAAGGTTGTGAATATTTTGAATAAATGAAGGGACTGCTTTCAAGCTATGTAAAAGAATGAAATAGTGAAACGAGGTATGTGGAAGCTTGAAAAAAGGTAACAGGACAAAAAACAAGGACGTTTCGGCATAAAGCCTTCATCAGCCAACAATAGAAATGAAAATACAACAAAGAAAAGAACACAGTAGAAAACTCAAGCAGTATTCATTCGTCTCTCCGGAAGTGGGAAAACAGGAAGCGAGAGAAAATAAATATAGACACCGTGAAAAATAAAGTCCACAATAATAATGGGCCAGAATATCAAGGGATACATCAACAAACAGCAATAAGAAAATAGATGAAATATAGGGAGACGGAGAAACATCAGTAGGATATTATTTGATAATCAAATAATATCCTACTGATGTTTCTCCGTCTCCCTATATTTCATCTATTTTCTTATTGCTGTTTGTTGATGTATCCCTTGATATTCTGGCCCATTATTATTGTGGACTTTATTTTTCACGGTGTCTATATTTATTTTCTCTCGCTTCCTGTTTTCCCACTTCCGGAGAGACGAATGAATACTGCTTGAGTTTTCTACTGTGTTCTTTTCTTTGTTGTATTTTCATTTCTATTGTTGGCTGATGAAGGCTTTATGCCGAAACGTCCTTGTTTTTTGTCCTGTTACCTTTTTTCAAGCTTCCACATACCTCGTTTCACTATTTCATTCTTTTGAATATTTTGACCAGCTTTAATATTTGAGTAGCTTAAAATTAACAAATAATTTTCTGTTTCTTTTTTAGTGGCTGTGTTAGTTTATGCCACATAATTTTGACACTAAGTTTTTGGGTTGAATCAACAAAACAAAGAAACATCTCACATAAAAATTACTCACTATGATGTTTGTCTGCCAAGAGAATAAGGGAATTGGAAATATCCCTCCTCCTGTAAAAGCACATAACTTTGGCTTCAACGTTTCCATTTTGAGTCTGAAATGAACAATAGAAAATATGTCAAATACACTGATAGATGTAAGTGCCGACTCATTAACATGGTTATTTCACATTATGTTTTTATCATGATCACTTATTAAACTTCTATGGGTCATTTTTTTTAATTTTGAGCCACTAACTATAGGAACTGACCTTGTTTAACTCCTCAATGCGTCGAATTTGATATGGTGCCGTAGACGAGGTTTCAAAAAACACATAGTCTGAAATGGTTGTGGGTTTACAGTTAAAGATACAAAAAAGTAGATAATAATGTTGCTCTTTATTAATTTATTCTCCAAACAAACCACCTGCTGGGGAGTTGGTAAGGGAAAAAATAGGTGTCACTATTACTCAGAAAATATTGCGCAACACTTCATTTGCGAGGTTTTTTATTTTTACACCACTGTGAGCGTAGCTGTTGCTGCTGGTGTTGTTGGCACAGCCATTTGCCGCACTCTTCATATACAAACTCATTGCACTCTTTACAGATGGAATTAGTTTTCTTGTCCTCAGATATATGACAAATTTAACATCTCTTGTGCTGTCCTTAACGGATAGCTCTGAGGATGCAACTGGTAAAATGCCACAAATGTATTTGAAGGGCCGAGTAGAAAAAGAACTTAATTTACAATTTTTCAAAAATGATTTAAGACAGGCATTAAATTTGATTACTTCCCCTGAATCATGCCTGTAAATATCATTCATGAAAAATGCACTTAAGGGTTTGATTCAGAGACACCTCGAGCAGCTTTTAAGGTATTTAAATAAGAATTTAAAAACGTTAAAACACATTTTTCTCCAAACTGCAAATATACACTTTAGTACTTTTTATATTTGGCCCTTTATTTAGCTTATCTGAAAGTGAGCTGTGTTTGCTGCACTTCCAACCTCTGACATGCATGTGCAAGGATCAAAACAAGGGCAGTTTTCTTCAAAGAGCTTTTGACCCTTGTCTGACTCTTCCTCCCGTTCGGGTTCACGTTCATCATGCTCAAATCATCTTGAATATTGTCCTGACCTTCCCTTTCAGTGTCACTTAAAACATCTAAAACTCAAATAGTGTCAATCCCTGTAGTCTCACCATGTTGTGAAGATGTGCATGTCACAGAATTACGACAAAAATATGTGTTACATCGAAGGCTCTCTGGGGCCATTTGACCCCAAACAGAATTAAATAAGAATAAACAAACATGTAAAGTAGCAAATGTGAGCTACATTGTTAGAAAGGCCTTAAAAGAAAATATATTAAAAGAGAGGTCATTAATCTTGAAAGTTCAATAAATTATAGGTCAAATACTGTTGGGGGGGGGGGGGGGTCACATGGACCCATGGTACCACACAAAGGTAAACAAATAATGTTGGAGCTAATCTTCAAAAAAATTGTATGAGAAATGTATTTTTATGGCCTCTTTTGAGACAACTACAGTGGCATATATTTGCTCTCCATTGCAGGCAAGATACTAGCTAGAATGCTCCTAAAGCNTAAAAGGGAGGTCATTAATCTTGAAAGGTCAATAAATTATAGGTCAAAAACCGTTGGGGGGGGGGGGGTGTCACATGGACCCATGGTACCACACAAAGGTAAACAAATAATGTTGGAGCTAATCTTCAAAAAAATTGTATGATGAATGTATTTTTATGGCCTCTTTTGAGACAACTACAGTGGCATATATTTGCTCTCCATTGCAGGCAAGATACTAGCTAGAATGCTCCTAAAGCATTTCAATTTGCATCCTGAGATGGGTCTACTGCCAGAAAGTCAATGCAGTTTTTTCAAAGAGCATGGAACTATCGACATGGTGTTCGCAGCAAGACAGCTGCAGGAAATGTGTCAGGAACAAAAGGTTGTTCTCTTCTCCACCTATGTAGACCTAACCAAGGCTTTCAACACTGTCAGCAGAAAAGGTCTCTGGAAGATGAGCAAATAGGGATGCCCCAAAAAGTTCATTTTAATTATTATTATTTAGGCATTTTCGTATAGCGCTTACCTTACAGCTCTAAGCGCTTTACAATTATTAAAAATGTGTAAACTATTTAAACTGCTAAAGTAAAATAAAAATGAAAAATTTTAATGGTGCGGCAATTCCACGACAGTATGCAGGCTAGGTTCTGGGAAAATGGACAGATGTCTGAACCATTCTGTGTGTCTAATGGAGTCAAACAAAGTTGTATCCTGGCAACAACACTTTTATCATGTTTTTCTGCCATGCTGTCTGTTTTCAGCAAGGGAGACATTTGAATCAGAATCAGATACAGAACTGAAGTTAAAGTTTTAACCTCAGGAGACTAAATTCAAAGTCCAGACAGACATCATCAGGGACTTTATTTATGCTGATGAATGTGCTCTTAATGCTGAATCAGAGGCATATATGCAACGCAATGTTGCAAACTACTCGAATGCCTGCACAAACCACACAAAGAGGACTGAGGTCCTGTACCAACCAGCTCCATGAAAATCTTACATCAAACCCAACACCCATGTCTATGGCGAAAGGCTTAAAGTTGTAAACAGCTTCTCTTACCTCAATAGCACACTGTCCCAAAGCGTAACCATTGATGAGATGAACCTTCTAATTGCAAGAGCTTGCTCAAAATGCAGGAAAATGTCTAAGAATTTATGGACAAGAAGAGGTATCAGCACCCAAACCAAATTTAAAGGTCTACAAGGCAGCTGGGCTCCCAACGCTACTATATGCATGTGAAACATTGACAGTCTAACATCATGAAAGGAAACTCAACTACTTTCACATCAAAAGCCTCTAATAAATTCAAATGGCAGGACAATTTCCTGGACACATAGGTAATCGCAAAAGCCAGTCTCCCCAGCACACACACATAAATGCAGTCGGGCCATGTTGCAAGAATGTCAGACCGCTGCTTGCCCAAATGAATATATTATAATTAACTCAAGAAGGGCAGGCTATTTGATGGGGGACAGAAGAAATGCTTTAAAGACACACTGAAAACATTTCACATTGACCCGGATATGTGGGAACAGACTCAAAGAATCGAGACTAGTGGCGCTCTTCTATACACAAGGGCTCAATGCAACATAGGTAATCGCAAAAGCCAGTCTCCCCAGCACACACACATAAATGCAGTCGGGCCATGTTGCAAGAATGTCAGATCGCTGCTTGCCCAAATGAATATATTATAATTAACTCAAGAAGGGCAGGCTATTTGATGGGGGACAGAAGAAATGCTTTAAAGACACACTGAAAACATTTCACATTGACCCGGATATGTGGGAACAGACTCAAAGAATCGAGACTAGTGGCGCTCTTCTATACACAAGGGCTCAATGCAACATGAGGCTCACAAAACTGCTGCAAAACATAAAAGACCAACCAGAAAAGCCCGAGTTAACTGAGTTGACTTGGATTTGCCCCATCTATTCTCCTTCACCAAAGCTAGCCTGATCGGCCATCTGCGCAACCACTAACAGACAAACTATCATGGTCTCTTAATCTGAAGACTTGCCCAAGACTTGTTTACAAAATAAAATCCATATAAATAAATGAGACAATATATACTCAACAATTTCCATTTTGTAGCTTGGAGAATCCTTAAAAATCTTCTTTCAAAATTTAAAAAAAAATCTTTTTAAAATAAACATTTCCATTATTTCTAAATCATGAAAAAAGAATCCGAGGCAACTATAAAATGGATATAGAATATTACATAATTCTTTTTTAGTAAGTTAGTAAGATTTCAAAAATATGCCTTGTTAATTAGTAGAGTTTACTTCTGATATCGACTCTTTGATAAATCTTTATTAACAAAACGAAAGGAGGGAGTTGACTCCCAAATTGCCTCTGATTAAGATATATGATAGATGACCATGTCAACTGAAATAGTGCACTCGGAAACTAAAGACTCAATAAACAAATCAATAGGCCTAATAAAATATCCTGAAACAACTTACAGAACTTCTCAACAAATTAAAAGACAGCCTGATCTGATGCATTAATAATGGTTTTAATTATTATTTAGGTGCTTAGAGCAATGTGATATCATTGGAAGTGTTGCCTAAATTAGTCTACAACATCTATCAATCATATAATATTGAGGATACTGATGTATTTTTTAGTGTTTTTGAAGAATGTTAATGGTAGACTCATCATCAGGCCTCAGATGCTCACTATTTATCAGGCAGTTTTTAACCCATACTAATTCTAAAGATACAATGACAGCAGAAGGTATTAAACTAAAAAAAAATTATTCAAATGTTTAAAATGTTAAAGTCGGTCAAAGCATTTAATTACTTATCAGTTTAAGAGTATAAGTATAAGCAAAAGTTGATATTTTATATAGGTGGAAAAATTATTATGAGTTTGAGATTAGGCCATGGCTTTTTAGCAATTATTTATTATGTTAGTTGTAGGCTCTGCTTTGGCTGCTTAAACTTAACAACACTTTTTTGTTTGTATATTGACATTGTCTTTTTAAACTTATAAATACTTATGATTAGCAATAGACTTTTTACTTCATTAATTGGATAAATAAAATGCAGCTTTAAGAACTAAAGAAATTAAGTTGACTAGTTATTTTAAACAAGAGGTGGGATGCATATTACCATTTCCTAATAGTATATCATTTATATGTTATAAACATGATAAGAAATTTAAAAACTGTTTACAAAAAAATAGCCCTGGCCCTAGACTAGGGCCTATACTATAAACTATACTATAAACGATAGCCCTAAATTGTTTTGGTTGTATAGTCTAAATATAAAGGATAAACAAAAAATAATGGCTTTAAAATTTAAAAAGCTTTCAAAAGTACAATATTTTTCGGTCGTTTTATTCTTTTTTTTTTTTTAAATTTTAGAAACCGTTGGATGCCAAATAAATCTACTTCCCCCTCCACCCTCATTTCCCCCCTTCAGTCTCGGGTCGACATTGTTGTATTCATAAAATAGTCCCTGTTACGCACGTTCCAACACTGTATCAAAACCAATAACAATTTACTTCTAAAACATACTTTGAAATGTATTTCACCATCTCCGTAAACGAAAAAACAAATAAAATTGCATTGTTTCACAGAGAGTTTTTGAGATATTAAACATATAAAAATCGAAGCGATCAGTAACCGTATCACTCCTGTAAAATGTAAGTCTACGCATTAAATGTATTTAGATACAGAACAAATGCGAATTAAGTACTTTTATAATAATAATTTAAATTTCTAATCATTGAATCAGCTATTTTTATCGAAAAATATTACTTTGATAACTTACAGCATCGGCAAACGCCCTAACACGAGCAAAAAGTTTTATTTTAGTATTACGACGCCGTTCAGCTTGGTTTGTGAGGCATGCATGCCTCTTTCCTCTTTCAATCAACACGATCGGGAAAATTTACTTACCTCCAACTCGATACATATTTGCCGACATTTCTGCTCCAATTAAGAATACACCAAACTTTTCACAAATAAATATTTTAGGGTGGGTAACTCATGTGTCCAGAAAGTCATAGAACTAAGCGAGTCCAACCCCCAATCACCCCCCAACGAGACTGATCACGGAGTCGCCATTTCTCGGACCTACTGTCTTCCTCTTTTTTAATAGTGACGTCATTCGTCCTTCGGCAATGCTCGGTTTTCACTCTAAAACCCACTTGAGATGCTGACTTATATCAGAACCATGACATGCTGGGTGTCAAATTGAACGCCAAGACCTCAGAAACAAGACTGTGGCAAAATTTAATGTTAATATTTAAATATAAAAGTTAAACTATACGTGACAATTAAATATTGCAGATTCCCCAATTCAAGCGCATGTCATTCGGTATTTCCCAGAAAATGTTCTTCCCTAAACAAATATGGGGGTGCAGGATTTTTATTTTAATTACTTATGTGGACATGGATTTACATTTTAAAAAATACACTTTTATTTTTTCTTTTCCAAATATTGACATGCGGTGCAAGTAGCGGTGGCGATTTTGTTGGGGGATGAAGAGCGACAGGCGTGAAGCCTTTGTGCGAGACAGCGCGCGGCAGACGAACCTGTGGGCCACGGTTGGCGTATACCAATAGCCAACACCAATCATAAGAAAGTAGTTACAATCGCTTTAATGAAATTGGTACTAATCCGCCGCAGTGATTAGCAGACGTGAAAAAAAGTTTGTATCCTAGCAACATATGACGTCACTACCGAATTGCATATTTCACACTACTCAAAATGTAGTTCTAGGCTACGTGACAGTGGTGAGGGAACAATTTCAGTTCGTCTAAAGACGGGAGTAACACTAAGAAAAGAACGGCGTTTTTTTTGTGGTTGTATTTTTAGTTTATTTCGGGGGGGGGGGGGGGGTGCATAGGCAAAGCTTAGCTGATTGGATATTGGTCATCAGTTTGCGGTTGTTTTGTTTTAGAAGTTTCATTTAAATTACACTAACATTAGTAGCATATTGCCATTGTTCACAAAGTAATCTTCTTTTTTATCCCGTTGGTCATAAATCAATCCCTACTTCGATCTCTTGTAAAATTGTTATGAACAAAATCGAAGTGGGTGTTACCTGTCTAGTGACTGTCTATCTATGACTGATCTTTAAAATTTGGAACTTTTTGTGGTACACAGACTTCTTCCTGGATAGCCGATATTTGTGGCTTAATTAATTTTTTTTTTTTTTTTAATGTATACAGAAATTTGCAGACTGACTCTTAAAATGACTTCATTCTGACCTAAAAATGTACTATGCAGGCTCTTTCTAATTTCTTCCAGATAAAAATATGCCCTGCATCCTCTCTCTAATTTCCCAGCTTCTCTACATTTGTATCGGTTTAAACCTAGTTTATTCATGTAAATGTAATGTGAGATTATCCATGATTTTTTTTTTTAACTGCGTAATTTAAAATCATCATACGCAACAACAGCAAAATGTCAATCACCAGTGCTGAAATCGTAGGCAAGAAATCGCACCCCCTCCCCCCCCCCAAACCCACACTTCCCAACCACTCACTCCAGCAGTATGAGATTTTCAATGATTTTTTTTTTTAACTGCGTAATTTAAAATCATCATACGCAACAACAGCAAAATGTCAATCACCAGTGCTGAAATCGTAGGCAAGAAATCGCACCCCCTCCCCCCCCCCCAACCCACACTTCCCAACCACTCACTCCAGCAGTTGATGTTCCGCCCAGCTACCATTTTGTTTCTGCAAACGTGTCTTTTCGTTCCCCCCTCTGGGTCCACCCAGCAGCACTGGAGCGATAGAAGAAATCAGGCTCAATTCCACCCTAACAGACCCTCAGAGCCTAAGGCCTCCCTTCAACAACCCCCACCGAACATCAGTCGATCAGTCATTTGCGTTTGGGTAGATAATTCGAAGCCTGTCTGTTTGTTAGTCTGTCCGCGTCTACAGTCGTGTACAGAGATTATCATTATGGCTTTTATTTATTTATTTTAAAAGAAGCCGTATTTTAAATATTCTGTTAGTGAAACACAACCTAATAATAATCACGAATATGTCGACATATATTCATTGCATAACCCAGCACGTTGTCTGTTGTACCGTAGCTAACGGATGTGTACGTTAAAAATAGTTGTATTATCGGGCATCTGTTCAGAAAGAGTTTTACAGTAAAGGGAAGGCCTATTTATAGAGGTTACTAGTCTAGATTCTAGCGATGCTAATGTGCGGACATTTCAAATAACTCTTCCCCCGGACCTAAAATACCATCTGTGATGAGAGCTGCGTGCGTCAACGCTTGTGACCTCATGGCACATCAATGGTATAAGAGTATCCCCTTTTTTTCATATTAGGTTCCATCAACTATTAGGAGGTTGTTGTATACGGTGTTATCATGGCATGTTATAGCATATTATTACGTGTGTCATGTGCCACTACTGGCAATGTCGTCCTCCGTGGTCCATGACCCTTCAAAACACACCCACACAAGAATAGCAAAGACGCTACTGTTTTTTATGATAATCATACGAGTGTATGTACCTGTTAGTGTTAGTATTACATTACGTTAAGCAGCCCTTTCAAATTGCTTTGACATTTGACATAGTGTTCTAGTGAGCGATTTCTTCATTTTAACCACCCCGTTTAGTGTCAAGTTGTTATGAAATATCATAATGACCCCTAAATATGTAAAGGGCCTTGAAAGACGCGAGGAAACCGGGGCCTAGACCCCGGATGCAAAAAATGAGAGGAAGTGGGTGCCAAAAATACTTGGCGTAGACACCGGATTCAAAAAATGTGTGGGTGCAAAAAAAAAATAATAATAATTCATTATTCGACACTGTACAATAGGTAGCCGACATCTGGACAATAAATATTTCATTTACCCAAGGCGTCACTAGGACTGGTGACCGCGACTGACCTAGGGTTAGTGCCGCCCGGTTGGGTCAAGATTGGTTGGGTCAAGATTGGTTGGGTCAAACCAGGGGTTTTCAAGCTACGACCCGCGGGCCGGATCCGGCCCGCGAGGCGAGTTCATCCGGTCCGCCGACGGTACATGAATTAGCTTGATAAAACGTATGTTTACCCACGGAGAAAGAAAATTTGTTGGATTTTACCGCTGCTAACCCGATTTTTGAGTTTCTGAAACAGAAGAACTTTGCCGCTGGTATGGCATCAGTGTTTGGAACAACTTATGTCTGTGATCAAACATTTTCAAAACTGAAGTACGTGAAGTCAACACAGTGACCGAGAGTGACTGATAAACATTTGAAAAACAATTCTCTTGATTTGATGCAGCAATTCGAAACCAAACATTAATGAAATCTTGAAGTTGAAAGGCAAACGTCAGTTTCACAAATCTCGCCCACCTTTTGTTGCTGCTTAGTTTGCGAGATTCGAATATGTGCGCACTACGTCTGATCAGTGGCGACGCTACACCAGGTCCCGCCGGGTCCCAGGACCTGGTGAAAAAAACTTGGGACCTGGCAAATGACCTGGTAAATTTTTATTAGTTACTAATATTGTATATATGCTCATTAAGCGTAAACTACATGTAAGAGAACTTCCATTTTAAATGCCTTGACATGTTTAAATTTGTATCGACAACAAAAAAATACAATAATGGGTTAAGTTAGTAGATTAATAAATATTACTTAATAAATAAATTTTATTTTTAATACATTTATTTGGGACCCGCCAAATTTTTTTAAGACCTGCAAGGGACCCACCATGTTAAATTTGACGGCGTCGCCACTGCCTCTGATGTAAAGATCGTTTTACTAACGTCACCTTCTTTTAGAAAATAAATATGTTGGTTGTCTTTGTTGTTTGTGTACATTGCACGCCACTCACATATGATTAACATAGAACACTAAAACTAAGTTTTTCGTCTTTTTCCCCCCAGAACTTTCGTTCTGGCTTGCAAGCATTGTACAGCATTGTCCAGCATTGTCCAGCATTGTCCGGCATTGTCCAGCATTGTCCAGCATTGTCCAGCATTGTCCGGCATTGTCCAGCATTGTCCAGCATTGTCCAGCATTGTCCAGCATTGTCCAGCATTGTCCAGCATTGTCCGGCATTGTCCAGCATTGTC